AACTCTGAAGAGATCTTCGCAGCATATGGCTTGGTTCCTCTTCACATGCCAGAAATAATCCACTGGTGATAAAAACTCGGACTCTCTCAGCTTCGTACCTTAAGCCTGCGAACCTCTTCTTCACAAGCAAGACCAAGCTCGAGTAGATCTCTTCCGCACAATCCAGCTTCCCAGAGATCACACGTTCCTCCTGGAAAACCTCCAGCGACAAATCGTCCACTACTCCCAGCTGACCGAATCTTGAGGCGCTGCTTGAGAACCGGAGCCTCACCCCTGGAATGCCGCCGCTCGAGGATTCCAGCAGGGAGACTGAAATATCCTCCAGGGCAATTTCCCCAATCTCTGCGTCCTTCTCTCTGTCGATCGACACTGACACTACATCCTGCCATTTCTTGCTCACCGATTCCACGGATTTCTTCCGGCGCTTCGTCGGCGGCTCATCGATGGGAGATTTGGATGCCTTGAGAGGCGCGTTCTGCTTGCGCCTCGCCATGTTTCCACGCTACCTATATAGATTATCAAAATTTTAGGGTTCTTCCGGAGATTAGGGTTTAGCTAGGCGCGAACGACCATGGAGGCGCGGAGGGAGCGGCGTGTGGAATCGCTGGGATGGCTCACCGAGTCGTCGGTGATGCCCAAGAAGCAGAAGGTGATCGAGGGCGTGGGGGCGGGCTCCATTGTGGAGCTCCGGGCGCAGCTCTATCAAACCCAGGAAGCAGTCAAGCAGGGCGATTCTACCGTGCTTGTTCGCTCCCGGAAGAAGAGTGATCTCTTCAGCAAGAAGAATCCTGGCGTGGATGATCGCGAGACGAGGTACATTTTTTTTTCTTCCCTGTTTCTAGCTCCTAGTTCACGATTAAAGTTTCCAAAAACTTCTTTAATGCGTAGCTCTTAGCTCCTAGCGTTTAAATTCTTCCTTTTCAGTCTTGTCTCCTCGATTTCTCCATGGATGTCCTTTCATGTCTGAGTTTGTTCTCCAGTTCTTGTGACTTCTTCTTTCTCATTTCATACTCGATACTTTCATAACACTCGTATAGTTTTTGATTTCCAGGGACAAGCTCATCTTCAAACAGGAGAGAGATGGCACCGCGAGCTACGAAGCGCTCGAGAAGAAAGCTCAATTGTATGACAAGCTGGTAAGGGGAGAGCTCCCCGACGAGGAAGAAAAGGAGAAGTACAGTGTGGACTTCCTCCGCAAGGGATTCCTGGAAGACGAAAAGGAAGAGATGGAACGTAACAGGAGGGGCGAGACTTCAGCCGACGACGACGAGCCCGAGAGCCTGTCCGACATGAACTTCTTGCCGGGGAAGCCAACTTACGGTCCCAACCACAAGGAACTAGTGAGGTAAGAGCACAAGTTCTTCGTGATCCAGAACTAAAAAAAACCTCTTTTTTGTTTGCCTGTCGCTACAGGGAAGTGAATCGAGAAACGGTGGAAGCGCGGGAGAAAGCTGCGGAGCTCAAGCAACGAAGGCAGAGCATTGCAGAGAAACAAAGGGCGAGGCTCAGAAAGGCGTTTGTCAAGAAGGAACTCGAGAAGCACAAGTCCAGTGCTGCGAATTCTCACGCCCCACCAGCAGAGCCTCTTCAACAAGAGCAACAAGCGTGAATTCTCGGGAGGCTGAATTCTATGATTAGTAAAAGCCTTAAATTCCTAAACTTAATAACAAAGATTACAAAGGTGCTGAATCCAGGAAGCTTGCAATCCCAGAAGTGGGCTCCTATACCTCCACCGAGCACAAGATGTTTCACTACATGGGCCGCAAGGTAATGCTGGATGTCATCGAATTCATCTTGGACTCCGATGATCATATGTGGGAGCTGAAAAGCGTTTTCAAGGTTTTGGGAGCGCTTGAGCGGAAGGTTTACGTTGTGTTTGATTTTGGGCACAAGCTCAGCTCTGAAAACACAGGCTGCGAAGCTGAGAGAAAAGCCAGGCTATCTGAAGGCGTTTGCTCTTGGCCTTATTGCCGAACGGACAGAGCTGGCGACTATGAAGCTCAGATCGGAGGAAGTGGCCCGCTGGGTGAATGCTATCGCCATCGACACCAACTTCTCTCGCATAGGTTGGAATGCTGAAGAGGCGACGATTCTCGCACTGAAGTTCCTGGAGCCCAGAATAGAGTAGACCATGCGATAGATGTCAAGTCGGAGAAGGTTGTGCGGTTCCGGGAAGATTTTCGAAGAAGTTACCCGCCGGTTGCAAGGAGTGGCACCGATCAAGCTTACGCATATGGGAGCGGATGTATATTATGTGTCGCGGGACTGGATTATCCATCTTCCTGCGGGAATTCTTGGGATCTTCCTCTTCGCAGTGCTCCTCTCCGACGGAACACGAGTCGCAGATCCAAACATCGACCTTCCCCGCGTCCCCAAGCGTGATGCACTTTTGGTGGTCCGAGGAGTGGCAAAAGTCGCGCTTTGCTCGTGCCTGTGCCACAAGCCGAGCAGCAGTCTGATCTGGGTAACCTCTTCAGGTCGATCACCTCGAGACTCTCGTGAACGTCTGCAAAGCTCATGACGAGCTGAAGAGGCGATTCTGATGTTTCCGCATATGTCCACATCTTGTCCGTGTGTGTTATCCAGCACCGTAGCGTCTTCCTCGTTTCCTCCCCCTTGAAGAGCTCATTCGCAACTTCTAAAGTGCGACGATGGTGCTTCATGGCCTTGGTAGCGTCCATGATAGAACTTATAGTATACAACTAACAAACTTCTTTGTACGCGTGGCTGTTCAACACTGACAAGTTCTCTACATATATGTTTGTGCCACCATGAAGAACAAATAAACATCTTGAACACTTTCAATGTAACTGTGCCTTTTCGATTCGCTTCTGCCTCTCTCTGCTTCGCTTCCGTAATATGTCTGAGAACATATCGCAAGGCACTTCCATGGACACCAAGGGCAAACATTACCATAGGAATCCGGACTTTCAATGTTGCTGTGCGAGATGAGGCTTGTCACGCACTGTCGAAATGTATATGTTGATCTCATTGGGATGAAAACGAAAAGATGGCACTTCGACACGAACTTCTTGCCAGCAACCACAAGGAGCGAGTGAGGTAAGGCCACAAGTTCTTCATGATTCATAACTTAAAAGAAGTAAACCGAACGGCCGAGGCGTTTGTCAAGAAGGAACCCGAGCAAAAATGCAGTGCTGGAAATCCTCACGGCCCTCCTGCGGAGCCTCTTCAATCCACCTAAAAAAGGCCCGTCTTCTTGACTATCAAAAAGAGGGATTGAGTCACGAGGCAATCAAATTTCAAGAGATTCTGTAATAGGTGCAGAAACTACAACGGCATTCCTCCAGTCTGGTGAAGCATGGCATCTATTTCATCGCCATCTTCCATTTCCAACTACAAAGAACAATCAAGAAAAAAAAAAGAAAAGGAAAAGAAGAAACGCTACCTCCTCTGGTGTTTGATCCTCACGGAGCCTTTTGCCATCTAGAAGAAACGCTATCGAGTCCGGTGCCACCGACATTCGCTCGCAATAGGCCTTCATAAGCTTCGCCAACCGCGTGTTACGCCTGATCGAGAAGCAAATCTCGTTTCCATCCTACAAGATCATCAAACAAGCAAGAGAAACCAAGAGATCCAACCCCTGCCAGTGAAATCAATGGCTTCTTTTACCTGGCTCTTCACTTTGAGATTCATGTGATCGCCAGGCTTTTTCTCTGGCTTCACGTCCGGCGTCTCGCTCGAGCCCTCCATTAGAGAGAAAAAAAAACCCTGATTTTCTTTCTCTTTATTTACATACAAGAAGGAAAAGTATAGCTACGATGCCGTTGATTCTTTGTTAGATTTCTCTGCTTTGAATGCCTGATCGCTCTTCTCAAAGATAGTTGCGCGGCGATTGTAATCCTCGGGGGATTTGCTGTTATCCTTTTTCATCACGATCTCTTCCAAGTATCCCAATCGATCAGCAATCTTGGCTGGAACAACCGAAGGCAAAAATTCGATCTTTGGTCAAGAAAAACGCTTACCTGGATCTTTTGTTTTCGATCCCTCGTCGCATTTTGATTCGCTATTCCCCAAAGTTTTCTTGGATTTCTCCTGCTCGTCTGGAATCGCCGTGGCCCAGACTCTCCAGTCTCGTCCGGAGGAACCGGGAAGAAAAGCACTGGCATTCTCTCCGCCGGGGGAAGAATCCGGGGTCTCTGGAGTGCTAAAAACTGGATTTTTACCTCCGTCTGGAAGAGTTTCCTGGAGCAAGTTCTTCAGATTCTCCCCGACTGCCTCCGAGTTCCCTGTAATCGACTCTGCTGCGGCCTGGACTCCACTCCCGCTCGCCGCGAGCTTGTCATTCAAGAGATACTGCTGCTCGATATCGTCCAGATCTTTCTCCCGCCTGGAATCGAATGCCTCGGACCCAACCTTTCCAGACTCTTGCTCGTTGTTTTTATGGTCGGTGCCAGTGAAAGTTTCCAGCACTTCGGTCGCATCACTTCCCCCAGTGTCTTCCAAACTCCCGCGAGAAATCCACACTGGACTCTTCTCTTCCCCCTCCGTCTCCACCGATTCGTGATTCTTTCCGTCCGCTAGATTGCCTCGGACGTCGATTCCACCTCCATCTTCCATACTGTCTCGAGAAGCCAGCGCGTCCGCGTCGTCCAAAGCAATGCTCTCGCTTTGATTCTACCCACAGAACAAAGAAATAGAAGAAATGAGAATTCTCCAAGCTCGATCAATCGATCGATCGATCAACGTACCTTGCTATTCGCCCTGACGCAACTCGTTCCAGCACGCATCCAAAGCGATGGCGCCACAAGTCGCGAGCAGCAGCGCCCACAGAAAACCCTCTTGGATCCTAGCCCCGATCTCAGTTTCGTTCCACTCGATCCAATCCCGAATGCGCTCGCAGCAGCACTAGCATTGATCATCGCCATTGCCAGTTGCCCTAAGAAGCTCGATTGGAGCCCTAAAAAACCAGAGAGAATTGTGGCGCGAAAGTGAGCCTACACGTGGCGATACGTGGCAGCACCATATGGCAGCACATTAGGTTGAGTGGATAGATTGGATTTGTGTTTAATTAATTGGCTCTATCTCTAATGACTTCTATGTCCATTTCGGTTGGATCGGTTGCTTGAACTTCATAGTGGATTCCATCGAGTTCTCGCCGGATCCTGTCCTTGGAGCTCGCGTAGATCATCTTGTTCTTCACTCTGGAAAGATCTGGGGACCTGAGAAAAAGAAAGATCGCAATGAATTTCTATAAAGATTCTAAGAGAGAGCTTGAGAAAAGTTTGAGAAAATGCTAGCGAGCGAGGAAGACTGTCTGGCCCATCGAAACGAGCAATGGAGCTAAGATCCATCTAGAAGCTCTAGAATCGATCCTTCAAGTTTTAGCTATAGCTAGAGAGAACGTCTAGCGAGGAAGAGATTGAGAGAATTGCGAGAAAGACTGCCTGACCCAAACGAACAATGGAGCTAAGATCCATCTATAAAGCTCTAGAATCTATCCTCCAAGTTCTAGCTGAGAGCTTGAGAAAAGTTTGAGAAAATGCTAGCGAGGAAGAGATTGAAAAGAACTGCGAGCAAAGACTATCTGAGAGAGATATCACTCTATCGAGCACGCTATCAAAGAGGAAAGGAATGGAGACATACCATGCAATGAAAAAAATCTTGCTCTTTTGGCACAAATCCTCTGTCACGAAATCGAAATCGAAGACGGCATACCGGCAATCGCTCTCTGGCAAGCACGCTGCGAAATCATCGTAGCTCTCGGCAGGAGCGCCCGTCTTCTCCACCACGACCTCGTTGGTGGCGTCGTCGATCTTGAAGATGAGGTAGCGGTACGCCTTCTTCCTCTGAAGCTCCAGGAATTTGTTCTTGCACTCGCCACTCACGGCCATTCCAGAGCCTGCATTTCCCTTCAAGAACACGAAATCCAGCTAAGCAAACCCCGATATTTCGCGAGATCCACACCATACCAGGCCAGCGCTGAGCGATCGCCTCCAAGAAGCCATAGGATTCACCTCAAAATCTCTGCAACAAAAGAGAAGAAATGCTGGAGATCGCTCCAGACCTAGCTGCGATGATCTTATTCCGGGACGCCGGCCCCGAAATTCGACGCGCTTCGCGAAAGTGTTGGCATCGACTAGCTAGGGCGAGGACCTCCACTAAGCGATCGAATATTCGTACTGATTAAAGTGATCAAAACTTTTCCCTTTTACTTTACTCGCTAATCGAACACTTCACTGAGGATTTAATATTTGAATAAAATTTACTTTTACTACTTTAATTTTATTTTAATCTGTTGTTAAATCGAATATTCATATTGGTTAACCAACCTAAAACACATTAATTTAGATTATTCGTATTATACTACACTAAGACCTAGATTAACATATCTTTTTAAATTTCCTTTAAACCATCATTTTAACACTAGAAATTGATTGGATTTAATGATGGATTAAAGGAAATCCAAACTGCAATTAATTGAAAGCTCTTACGCAAGAATGGTTTGCACGAATCCATTTCTTTCCGCACATGTAGCAAAACTCATAGTCGCATCTGCAAGAAAGTTTTTTTAAAAAAGCTCCAAATTTAAAGAGAAAAAGAAAAATTCACATACTTGCATTTAATGTGTTCGCATCCACCGTCACGCTCGATAATCCGCCCACACCTCTCACACTGTGCCCACTGCTTTCTCTTTGCCAGCGTGTGCAACATCGCGCCTTCCACGTCACGCAGGTGGGCAGGAAGCGCCTGAAACGTGTCACACGACATGTCGACATGCCATGCCACGTTGCACCGCAAGCACATCTTATTCTCGCATCTGGAACACGTCACACAGGCCCGAGCAGACGCGGATGCCGAGCTGGACGATGACGTGGAGTCGGATACCTCCAGCTCCCGCCTGTCCATCATCTCGGAGCAGTCCTTGTACGGACAGTACACTTTATACTCCGCCGGGATGCTCAAGTCCTTGACGCGCTTGGCCAGCATTTCCAAGGTCTTCTCGGAAAGCAAACGCCCACACTCTTCGTCGCTGAAACTCACCGCGCAGTTCACCGCGGGGCACCGGATATTCACCTCACCCTGCGTCACTTTCACCGCGGCGTGCCGCTCCACGCAGTGGACGCAGAACCGGTGGTCACACCCCGACACCGTGACCATCTCGCTGGAAACCGGTTCTCGGCGCAGATGGTACACACATCGGTGACGTCCGCGGCCGGTACGGGCGGCATATTCTCTCCCACGGGTGGCGCATATTCCCCGCAGTACCCCACGTCGTCAAACTCCACCGGCAGCGGCTCGTCCGCGCGCCGGTAGTGCGTGTCCCCCAACACGTTCCAGTGCCGGTGGAGATCCTCTGCGAGCCGTCGGTCGTGGTCCAGCTGGCGCAATCGACGGCTCTCCCTGCGCTGCTCCAGCTCCGCCAGCCGCCGGTCGGCCTCCTCCTGCTGCCACTTGATGACGTCGGCCAAGTATACGCGAAGAACAGCGGCGACGTCGGAATCTAACGATTCCATCCTTGATTCCATGCTGGATGCTGCGTGATCGTCTCCCCCAAATCCCTGCTGCTGCGAGACTTGGATCGCTTCCATCATCTGCAAGCCAAAAGCGAGAATGTCATCCGCCATTGCAATGGAGAGAGAAGAATGAGGAGAACTTTAAAAGATAGCCCTGGACCCAAAGAAGAACGAGAATCTCCAAAAAATAAATCCAAAAAAAGAAGATTAAAACAAAAAGGAGTTTCCGACCTGCCGGAATCGAACCAGCGACCTAAGGATGTCTGGATCACTACAGTCCTCCGCTCTACCAACTGAGCTAAGGTCGGATTGCTGAAAAAAACCAGTTTTTTTTCCATCTCCAGGTTTAGTTTTACCAATTTTACCAAACGTTAAAACTTCTCTACAAAACTTGGTCTCACAGAAAATTTCTATTCATCGGTCACGCAGCCTTCGGAGGCGGACTTCACATTCTTGATGTACTGCAAGGAAATCAAATCCACCGTGAAAACTTTGACAGCTTTTTATTTGCTTTGTTCTTACCTTGTATAGCGTTCCACGAGTTGCCTTGAGAGGTGGCGCTGTCCACGCTTTCTTTCGTGCCGCAAGCTCGTCCTCGGCCACGCCGAGATCAATCAGTCGCTTCTCAATGTCAAGAGTGATTCTATCTCCATCTCGGACTAAGGCGATTGGACCCCCAACCTGGAAATCACACAACATGAATTTAACAAATAGAGACGAAATGAGCTCGTTTGTATGAGTACCTGGGCTTCTGGACAAATGTGTCCAACGACAAAACCATGAGAACCTCCTGAAAATCTCCCATCCGTGAGGAGAGCTACTTCCTGGAAAGAAAGGAGTGAGATTTTCATGGCGAAACATAGCAAACGAACTTTACACACCTTCCCCAAGCCAGCACCCATGATCGCACTTGTAGGAGTTAGCATCTCAGGCATTCCCGGACCACCTTTGGGACCTTCTCCCCTGATAACAATCACGGAGCCCTGAGTATTTCACCGATCACCAGTGATTATCATATCTTGCTTTGGACAGAGAGAAAAAAGTAAACCTTGAAGCTTTGAGGATTCTCAGACAGCGCTGAAAGCATAGCTTCTTCGCCTTCGAAAACCCGAGCAGGACCTGGCAAGCAAAAAGCTCGTAAGTAGTAAAAAGAAGAACAAACAACAAAAATGCATTTCCACCTGAAAAGTAAAGACCCTCTTTCCCAGTGATTTTTGCAACGGAGCCCTCGGGAGCCAGGTTTCCATACAAGATCTGTATGTGGCCAGTCGACTTGATCGGCCGATCTAGTGGATGTATGACATCCTGTAAAATAATTTATGTCAAGGGAAACACCAGGATAATTTTTAAGTTACCTGTCCCTCGCTCAAGGGCGGGCAGATGGATATATTTTCCGACAAGGTCTTGCCAGTCACTGGACATACCAGAAAAGAGAGAGAGAGAAACAAAAAAAAAACGTTACTTTGCGCAAGATCACTCCATTTCTTGAAGTTACCAGTGATGCAGTCGCCATTGAGGTAGCCCTCTTCAAGCAGATACTTTAAAACGCCAGGCGTTCCACCAATCTGTGACATCGCAATATATTGTGAGTCACCACAAAACTGGGAATTACAGACCTTATGCAAGTCCTCCATTACATACTTCCCGCTGGGTTTAAGATCAGCGATAAACGGAACTTTGTCACTAACTTTCTGAAAGTCGTCCAAGGTCAGTGGCACGTTTACTGACCTGCGTAACTAGCGAAACTCAATGACAACCAGAAAGATCAGATTTTCACTACCTCGCAATTGCGATCAGGTGTAGCACGGCATTTGTCGATCCTCCCAGCGCCATTACGACGACCATGGCATTGTGAAGCGACTCTTTCGTGATTATGTCTTTCGGTTTCAAGTCCATCTTCAGCAGCTCCAGCAAGTGTTTTCCCACCAGTCGGCATTCTTGTAGCTTCAGAGGGTCTTCAGCTGGAATAGAAGAACTGCATTTACAAAAGAAAAAACAAATAAATAATATCGGAAAACACGTAAAAGACTAAGAGAGAGACCTGTAAGGAAGGGACATGCCTAAGGCTTCAATGGCGCTGGCCATGGTATTTGCCGTGTACATTCCACCACAAGCTCCAGCACCTGGACATGAATGTTGCAAAACTTTCAGTCGCTGCTCGTCAGAAATGTGACCACCAACATATTCTCCGTAGCTCTGTACGTTAAGAAAAATAAACCGAGAAGACAACGAAAACACAGCATAGGCTTCGTTTATGCGACCACCATGAGAAAAACAAAGACCCAGAAATACCTGGAAAGCTGACACTATATCGTACGTATGCCCGTTCACGATTCCTGGCTGAACCAACACTTTCAGCAAGCACGAACAAAAGAAACCAAAAAGAAAGAGAAAACTTACTTTGATAGTTCCTCCGTAAACCATAATACTTGGTCGATTCAGCCTTCCCATTGCAATGAGAGTTCCTGGCATCTATAAGCACAAAGAAAGAATGAGAAAACAAAAAAGAAACAAGAGAGAGAAAGGAGAGCATAGAGAAGTTTTCGAAAGAGCTTGCTCGATCACCTACATTCTTATCGCAGCCTGGAATGGAGACATTGGCATCGTACCACTGTCCACCCATGACGGTCTCGATGCTATCAGCTATCAAATCCCGCGACTGCAAGCTATAGCACATCCCTTCGGTCCCCATCGATATGGCATCGCTCACCCCCACGGTGTTGAATCGAAATCCCACCATGCCAGCCTCGCGCACGCCCTCCTTGACAGCCTCGGAGAGCTTGAGCAAATGCATATTGCAAGTGTTGCCCTCGTACCACACCGAGGAGATCCCGACCTGCGCCTTGGCCATGTCCTCGTCGCGCAGCCCCACGCCATAGAGCACGGCCTGCGACGCGCCCTGGGATTTGGGCTGCGTCACGCGGCTGCTGTAGCGATTCAACACGATCGCGTGCTCGCCGGCGCCCTGCTGCCGCGATGGAGCGGCGATCTCTGTGGGGGAGGAGCTCACCGATGCCCTGGCGATGGAGGACGGCGCCGCATTCTTGCGAGGGATTGGCCGCGCCGGGCCGAGAGCGCTCCCCAGTAGCTGTGCCATTTTCTCCCCAGGATTTAGGGTTTTGGACCCTTTAGGGTTTAAGATTTGGACCTTTAGGGTTTATCTCTACCTTTATGAAATAATATAATTAGTTATAGTTATAGTCATTAGTAATTAATTATACTTATTATTAGTTAATTAAAATTATATTTAAATTTATAATGACAACTGTGTATGAATGACATGATCGATCAAAACGTCCAGCTCCAGGTAATTCTTCGCTCCTACTTTCTTTTCAAACGAAAAAGGTGGCGAACATTCCAAACTTTCTCCATGTCCTTCGTACTTGGGTACTGTATGGTCGGCAACTGCATTGACTAAGTTTTTCCATAGAGATATACGTGGTCTTCTGGAACGCGTCTAAAAGACAAGACAAGCTTTTGAAAGCCGCGACGATCTATAACTCTAAAGCGATGAATCCAAAAGAAACCTTTTGACAGAAGGGAGAAGTCTAGCAATCTAGCTCACACTCCAGGCTTCTTACACTGGAAAAGTGTGCAAATAAATACACAATCACAGCGTGTGTAGAACGCTCTCTTTACTTCTCCTTGCTTTGCAATGGGGAGGCCTCCTCGCCGGAACAAAGAGGGACTCACGAAAGGCCCCTGGCAGCCCGAGGAAGACGAGAAGCTCGTCGCTTACGTTCGGAAACACGGTCACGAGAATTGGAGAGCGCTACCGGAGAAAGCAGGTGAATCGATTTCTCACATCTTCGTCTCATAGTTTCTCTTGGATCTTGCGAGCAGGACTTAATCGCTGCGGCAAGAGTTGCAGGCTGCGATGGACGAACTATCTCCGGCCGGATATAAAACGAGGCGGGATCACAGCCCAAGAAGAGGTTCTCATCATCTGGCTGCATTCAATCCTGGGTAACCGGTAAGAGTTTGTAGAGTTTTACCTAGTTCTTGCGTTTCTCACTTTCAGGTGGTCCGTGATCGCATCGCACATTCCTGGACGAACTGACAACGAGATTAAAAACCACTGGAATACACACCTCAAGAAGCAACTGTTACAGATGGGGATTGATCCATTGACTCACAGATCCTGTGGTTCTGTTCTTCCTGATGGCAGCTATTTCCACCTCGACGCTTGCTTCAATCCTGAGGATTTATCTGGTTACCAGGTGCGTCACCTTTCAGCAATGGATGGATCTTTCTCATCGTCCGAGAGAGGAGGTACTAAACGAATGTTAGAAACGATGGAATCCAGCGAGTTTTGGACGACCATTTTAAAGGCTGTTGGAATGTGACACTGTATTCTCGGAATGATCTGACCTTCTGGAGAAGAAATAAGAAGCGTCAGTAATCATACGAATAAAACTCGCTTACCATCGTGCTACTTCCAGTTGAGAACAAATGCATATCCTCCAAGCTTTACCACTGTAATCTCTCCGGGCTAGATCTTGTAAGAAACGTCTCAAACGGTTCTCGGCACGGATACATTTCGTTGATTGATGCTCCCACAGCGGATCCTTCATTGGAAGCTTGTCTCTCATGGAAATCCTTTCCTTGAGATTCTTTATAAGCCACCAGAGCTCCTGAAACACGAAAGAAACGTATTTAGACTTTATCACAAAGACAACCTCACCTCTCTGTCAAACATCTTGTATGGTAGATTTCTTTTCCAACTAACTCATTCTAACCAAATTCAACTCCTACTACTACCTACTTGGTTCTCATGTAAACTATATATAAAACCACTATCAAGATTATATAGTTCTTCCTCTCTCTCAACAATAGTGGCAACTACTACAGTAAGTTGGATAAGCTCATGGTGCATTGTTCCATCTAAGAAAAATCATTCCAGGCTTTCGAAAAGGTGATGCATACCTCCTTGTCTCTAATTCCTCCAATCCTCTTGATAGCGGGCTCTTCGCGTTGCAGGCTGTGCAAAATATACTCCACCAGCTACATTTACATAAGAACATCTATCATCCATCGCAAGAAAGAACGAGTTCTCACCCAAGTAGTCGTAGAGTCTTCGCTTTCCAACTAAAACTCCAGTGGCTTCCATCTTCTGGAAGAAGGAACAAAACGACCATTTTTTTAGATAGATTGTGACGATCGAAGGGAGAAAAACTACCTGGAACGTCTGTACAGAATCATAGCATTCGTCCGGTAAGCATCCCCAAAGAACGAAAAAGAAAGGGAAAAACAGAAGCAAAAATGGAACCAAAGAAACAAAGAAACAAGGAAAAAAAATGGAAGGGAACAAAGAACAAGAAAAATCAGTCGTTTTGGATGGCCATATACAAAGACCCAATCATCCAGCGGCTTCTTTGGTGCCAATGGCGGCTTCACGGGAATCCCCGCCCCCAATCTTCGGCCGCTTGAATCTCTCGAGCAGCGCGGCATACCTCCAATCCAATCCGTCAATGCGCTTCTCCAATCCAGTCGTGGATCGTCCTCCCCCACCCTAGCGCGGGAAAATCACTTGGAGATGTCTTTCAATCCAGCTTCTCACTGCCGCCTGTAAGAGAGAATTTTCAGGATTGGAGAGTTCGATCACACGGTACAAACCAGCGATTGCTGCCAGGCGCCGACAATGCGCTTCCGTGGTCGCCATAAAGACCTTATTAGAGTTCTTCCAAGAATTCTCAAGTGTGTTCGTCAATCCCGCGGCGTTGGAGGCCCCGATTCAGCACGCGACTGGCAAAGGCGAGAGAAGTCCTTTCCGAGTTTTCGATTTTGATGGGTGGGGCAGAGGAGGCCGAGAGCGATGAATTCTACGAGCTAACTCCGGAAGATTATGCCCGATTGGTGTCCAAGAAAAGAAAAGGTCGGCAGGTTCGATCGTGTTGGTTTCTTCCATATGATCTTTCACTCAAAGTTTCCTTTTTTTTGTTTTCCTTCCAGAGAGATTCTTGAAGACAGCAAAAAGCCGTGACGCTGAGGCAGCAGCTCGTAGATCCAAGTTTGCTAAGGTAATGAAATTGTCACTCCATGGATCGTCTGACTTACATGCTTTTCTCCTTGCAGGCCACACTTCGTGTCCGGTTCCTGGATAGCATCATGGTTGAGGCCGATTTTCGTCCTCTAGATCTGGTTGTGTAGCTTGTTACAATGCTGGAAAAATTGCTACTACAGCCAGAGATCTGTGTAAGTTCTCCTTCCAAAACTCTTTTTTTTGTTCTAGTTCGCAGATGGTCTTTGGATCTCATTGTTCTCCGGGACTCAAGTTCATTGGCCTGCTTGCGAGCATACAGCGGTGGAATGCAAGTATCTCACATATGTCTCACTCGAAGCTTTGTTTGATCTTTGATGCATATATAGGTGCAAGTGTTCCCAGTGGAAGAGTGTTCCAAGGAGGATACATCAACGTTGATGGTGACGTAATCGATCACGAAGGAACTGTCAACGTGAGTTCGTTTTCGTTTTTTTTGTTCATGCTAGCTGCAAATGCTATCAGCAGCCAACATTATCGACATGTATGCCTGAATTATCAACAGGCATGCATATGATCAGTGTACAAAAATGTTTTTGGTTCTCCTGGTGCGAATTTGTTGTTTAACGTACTTCTGACGAGCAGCGACTGAAAATTTGCAGCATTCATGTCCAGGTCCTGAGCTTGCAGTGGAATATACATGGCTGGCCAGTGCCAGTGAAGCCTGGGTCCTTCAGTCTCTGTCTCTTCTCGATAGATCTTGTCCATTCCAAAGCACTTGATGGAGTTGCTAGTCTCTTGACATGCCATTGTCCTCGTAATGGGACTGGGTTTGATCTGCCAGTGACGATTCCCTACCATTGCATTGCTTGCCTTCGCCCAGAGCTCACTCTTGTTGTCCTGGGCTTCACCTTTTGTATTATTCCAGTTAAAGGATTTTAGAAAGCTGTGACATTCATTAGAAAAGTTTCTATTGCCCAGAAATGTTTGGTAGTTTGGTAGCCTCTGTGTTATCTGTTTTCACACTGGCTAAGCATGACAATGACAATATGTTTTATTATTGATCTTTGAATTTCACAAAACAAAATGCGATGCTCTACAAAATCTATCATAGAACAATCTTAACTCTCAAGGACATTCTTAAAGTGCTTTGCAATTATTGCCATTGCCGCCTCATCATCCCCACTGTCCTTACCATTTTTGTCATCTTCACCATTATCATTATTTTCGCCATCACCACCCGAAACTATCAATGCCAACCGCCAAAGGCTCACTGCCAAACATACCGAAACCGTCAATGCTAGCTGTTAACGGCTCACCATTAGACTCGCTGGAACTGCCATCACTAACTGCCAAAACTGTCACGTCACTGATTCCAGGTACTACAATCTCCTTGAAAGAGCCTCAAAAGGTGATTTTTTGAATTTTTTCTTAAATGCTTTTTGAATGTCAAAACGCTTACTCAATAGATTCGGTCGGAGTGCGGGAAAAATCAAGACTTACATGAACAGTAAATATTGGAAGATGTCTCTATACATTACATTCGAGGATTCCCATGGAGGCCTCGAATGTAATGTGCCACCATCGGGTTCTAGCTCAACTATTTTCCAATACCTTTTATTCATATAAATTTTGAATTTCCCCCACTTGCAATCAAAAGTGTATTCAGGATCATGCGTTCCAACCGACTTGAGTAAGCGTTCAAACGTTCAAAGAGCATTTAAGAAAAAGTTAAAGAAATCACCTTTCGAAGTTTTTCCCAAGGACACTATAATGCCTAGAAATAATGATTTTGACAGCTGGTGTTGGCAGTTCCGACGAATCTAGCGGTGAACTGTTAGCAGCTGCCACTGACAGTTTCAATGAATCTAACGGTAAACCTTTGGCAGCTGAAACTGGCAATTCCGGCAAGTTGGGCAGTGATGGCAAAGATAACAATAATGGTGGAAAAAAACAAAGATGATGAGGACGGCAGGGACGATGAGGCGGCAATAACAATAATTGCAAAACAGTTCGAGAATGTCCCTAAGAGCTGAGATTGTTATGTGATCAAAAGCAAAAAAAACGAACAACCTGGAAAACAAAAGATAAAGAAATGGGAAGTAAGGAACAAAGAGTAAAAGGAGAAAAACCTTGTCTACGGTGACATAGTTGTCATTCTTCAACTGCTCCAGGAATGCAACCAGCTTGCAAGCTTCCTCCCATTGCCCAACATGGTCGCTGGTGGGAAAGAAGTGCTCCACCTTAGCAGAGAATTGCTGCATCAGGACATCACACACACAAACAAAATCATTGAAGCACAGAACTGATGGAGAAGATAGGATAGAATCTATGAGAGCTTCTACATGCTAACACTCACTACCCTAGAAACAAGCAAAGAGACCGAGCGAGTGGGGAGAAGTTGCTTATATCATATCAAGAAATGAGCTCGTTTGTGTGAGTACCTGGGCTTCTGGACAAATGTGTCCAACGACAAAACCATGAGAACCTCCTGAAAATCTCCCATCCGTGAGGAGAGCTACTTCCTGGAAAGAAAGGGAGTGAGATTTTCATGGCGAAACATAGAAAACGAACTTTACACACCTTCCCCAAGCCAGCACCCATGATCGCACTTGTAGGAGTTAGCATCTCAGGCATTCCCGGACCACCTTTGGGACCTTCTCCCCTGATAACAATCACGGAGCCCTGAGCATTTCACCGATCACCAGTGATTATCATATCTTGTTTTGGACATAGAGAAAAAAGTATACCTTGAAGCTTTGAGGATTCTCAGACAGCGCTGAAAGCATAGCTTCTTCGCCTTCGAAAACCCGAGCAGGACCTGGCAAGCAAAAATCTCGTAATTAGTAAAAAGAACAAACAACAAAATGCATTTCCACCTGAAAAGTAAAGACCCTCTTTCCCAGTGATTTTTGCAACGGAGCCCTCGGGAGCAAGGTCTGTATGTGGCCAGTCGACTTGATCGGCCGATCTAGAGGATGTATGACATCCTGTGAAATATTGTGTCAAGGAAACACCAGGCTGAATTTAAGTTGTTACCTGTCCCTCGCTCAAGGGCGGGCAGATGGATATATTTTCCGACAAGGTCTTGCCAGTCACTGGACATACCAGAAAAGAGAGAGAGAGAGAAACAAAAAAAAAAAACGTTACTTCGCGCAAGATCACTCCATTTCTTGAAGTTACCAGTGATGCAGTCGCCATTGAGGTAGCCCTCCTCAAGCAGATACTTTAAAACGCCAGGCGTTCCACCGATCTGTGACATCGCAATATATTGTGAGTCACCACAAAACTGGGAATTACAGACCTTATGCAAGTCCTCCATTACATACTTCCCGCTGGGTTTAAGATCAGCGATAAACGGAACTTTGTCACTAACTTTCTGAAAGTCGTCCAAGGTCAGTGGTACGTTTACTGACCTGCGTAACTAGCGAAACTCAATAACAACCAGAAAGATCAGATTTTCACTACCTCGCAATTGCGATCAGGTGTAGCACGGCATTTGTCGATCCTCCCAGCGCCATTACGACGACCATGGCATTGTGAAGCGACTCTTTCGTGATTATGTCTTTCGGCTTCAAGTCCATCTTCAGCAGCTCCAGCAAGTGTTTTCCCACCAGTCGGCATTCTTGTAGCTTCAGAGGGTCTTCAGCTGGAATGGAAGAACTGCATTTACAAAAGAAATAACAAATAAATAATATCGGAAAACACGTAAAAGACTAAGAGAGAGACCTGTAAGGAAGGGACATGCCTAAGGCTTCAATGGCGCTGGCCATGGTATTTGCCGTGTACATTCCACCACAAGCTCCAGCACCTGGACATGAATGTTGCAAAACTTTCAGTCGCTGCTCGTCAGAAATGTGACCACCAACATATTCTCCGTAGCTCTGTACGTTAAGAAAAATAAACCGAGAAGACAACGAAAACACAGCATAGGCTTCGTTTACGCGGCCACCATGAGAAAAACAAAGAACCAGAAATACCTGGAAAGCTGACACTATATCGTACGTATGCCCGTTCACGATTCCTGGCTGAACCAACACTTTCAGCAAGCACGAACAAAAGAAACCAAAAAGAAAGAGAAAACTTACTTTGATAGTTCCTCCGTAAACCATAATACTTGGTCGATTCAGCCTTCCCATTGCAATGAGAGTTCCTGGCATCTAAAAGCAAAAAGAAAGAATGAGAAAACAAAAAAGAAACAAGAAAGAGAAAGGAGAGCATAGAGAAGTTTTCGAAAGAGCTTGCTCGATCACCTACATTCTTATCGCAGCCTGGAATGGAGACATTGGCATCGTACCACTGTCCACCCATGACGGTCTCGATGCTATCAGCTATCAAATCCCGCGACTGCAAGCTATAGCACATCCCCTCGGTGCCCATCGAGATGGCATCGCTCACCCCCACGGTGTTGAATCGAAATCCCACCATGCCAGCCTCGCGCACGCCCTCCTTGACAGCCTCGGAGAGCTTGAGCAAATGCATATTGCAAGTGTTGCCCTCGTACCACACCGAGGAGATCCCGACCTGCGCCTTGGCCATGTCCTCGTCACGCAGCCCCACGCCATAGAGCACGGCCTGCGACGCGCCCTGGGATTTGGGCTGCGTCACGCGGCTGCTGTAGCGATTCAACACGATCGCGTGCTCGCCGGCGCCCTGCTGCCGCGATGGAGCGGCGATCTCTGTGGGGGAGGAGCTCACCGATGCCCTGGCGATGGAGGACGGCGCCGCATTCTTGCGAGGGATTGGCCGCGCCGGGCCGAGAGCGCTCCCCAGTAGCTGTGCCATTTTCTCCCCAGGATTTAGGGTTTTGGACCCTTTAGGGTTTAAGATTTGGACCTTTAGGGTTTATCTCTACCTTTAAGAAATAATATAATTAGTTATAGTTATAGACATTAGTAATTAATTATAACTGTAATAATTATACTTATTATTAGTTAATTATAATTATATTTAAATTTATATGATGTATGAATGACATGATCGATCAAAACGTCCAGCTCCAGGTAATTCTTCGCTCCTACTTTCTTTTCAAACGAAAAAGGTGGCGAACATTCCAAACTTTCTCCATGTCCTTCGTACTTGGGTACTGTATGGTCGGCAACTGCATTGACTAAGTTTTTCCATAGAGATATACGGCAGCGATGACATGGTCTTCTGGAACGCGTCTAAAAGACAAGACAAGCTTTTGAAAGCCGCGACGATCTATAACTCTAAAGCGATGAATCCAAAAGAAACCTTTTGACCAAAGGGAGAAGTCTAGCAATCTAGCTCACACTCCAGGCTTCTTACACTGGAAAAGTGTACAAATAAATACACAATCACAGCGTGTATAGAACGCTCTCTTTACTTCTCCGTGCTTTGCAATGGGGAGGCCTCCTCGCCGGAACAAAGAGGGACTCACGAAAGGCCCCTGGCAGCCCGAGGAAGACGAGAAGCTCGTCGCTTACATTCGGAAACACGGTCACGAGAATTGGAGAGCGCTACCGGAGAAAGCAGGTGAATCGATTTCTCACATCTTCGTCTCATAGTTTCTCTTGGATCTTGCGAGCAGGACTTAATCGCTGCGGCAAGAGTTGCAGGCTGCGATGGACGAACTATCTCCGGCCGGATATAAAACGAGGCGGGATCACAGCCCAAGAAGAGGTTCTCATCATCTGGCTGCATTCAATCCTGGGTAACCGGTAAGAGTTTGTAGAGTTTTACCTCTAAGTTCTTGCGTTTCTCACTTTCAGGTGGTCCGTGATCGCATCGCACATTCCTGGACGAACTGACAACGAGATTAAAAACCACTGGAACACACACCTCAAGAAGCAATTGTTACAGATGGGGATTGATCCATTGACTCACAGATCCTGTGGTTCTGTTCTTCCTGATGGCAGCTATTTCCACCTCGACGCTCGCTTCAATCCTGAGGATTTATCTGGTTACCAGGTGCGTCACCTTTCAGCAATGGATGGATCTTTCTCATCGTCCGAGAGAGGAGGTACTAAACGAATGTTAGAAACGATGGAATCCAGCGAGTTTTGGACGACCATTTTAAAGGCTGTTGGAATGTGACACTGTATTCTCGGAATGATCTGACCTTCTGGAGAAGAAATAAGAAGCGTCAGTAATCATACGAATAAAACTCGCTTACCATCGTGCTACTTCCAGTTGAGAACAAATGCATACCCTCCAAGCTTTACCACTGTAATCTCTCCGGGCTAGATCTTGTAAGAAACGTCTCAAGCGGTTCTCAGCACGGATACATTTCGTTGATTGATGCTCCCACAGCGGATCCTTCATTGGAAGCTTGTCTCTCATGGAAATCCTTCCCTTGAGACCTGAAACACGAAAGAAACGTATTTAGACTTTATCACAAAGACACACTCACCTCTCTGTCAAACATCTCGTATGGCAAACAATGGATGTCATTCTGAATGTTCAAGTTTCCGGACATGAGGCCACCAAACCATCTGTTTTATAGATTTCTTTTCCAACTAACTCATTCTAACCATAGTTCTTCCTCTCTCTCAACAATAGTGGCAACTACTACAGTAAGTTGGATAAGCTCATGGTGCATTCTTCCATCTAAGAAAAATCATTCCAGGCTTTCAAAAAGGTGATGCGTACCTCCTTGTCTCTAATTCCTCCAATCCTGTTGATAGCGGGGTCTTCGCGTTGCAGGCTGTGCAAAATATACTCCACCAGCTACATTTACATAAGAAGATCTATCATCCATCGCAAGAAAGAACGAGCTCTCACCCAAGTAGTCGTAGAGTCTTTGCTTTCCAACTAAAATTCCATCTTCTGGAAGAAGGAACAAAACGACCATTTTTTTAGATAGATTGTGACGATCGAAGGGAGAAAAACTACCTGGAGCGTCTTTACAGAATCATGGCATTCGTCCGGTAAGCATCCCCATCTGCGAAACAAAGAACGAAAAAGAAAGGGAAAAACAGAAGAAAAAATGGAACCAAAGAACCAGGAAAAAAACATGGAAGGGAACAAAGAACAAGAAAAATCAGTCGTTTTGGATAGCCATATGCAAAGACCAACCTCTTCTTGAGCAGCGATTTGCATTTCCTAGTCGGCTCGAAATCCCCCTCGGGATCACTCTCAATATCCCAATCATCCAGCGGCTTCTTTGGTGCCAATGGCGGCTTCACGGGAATCCCCGCCCCAATCTTCGGCCGCTTGAATCTCGCGAGCAGCGTGGCATACCTCCAATCCAATCCGTCAATGCGCTTCTCCAATCCACTCGTGGATCGTCCGCGATCATAAACCCTAGAAATAATTTCCCCCCACCCTAGCGCGGGAAAATCACTTGGAGATGTCTTTCAATCCAGCTTCTCACTGCCGCCTGTAAGAGAGAATTTTCAGGATTGGAGAGTTCGATCACACGGTTCAAACCAGCGATTGCTGCCAGGCGCCGAGAATGCGCTTCCGTGATCGCCATAAAGACCTTATTAGGGTTCTTCCAAGAATTCTCACGTGTGTTCGTCCCGCGGCGTTGGAGGCGGCAAAAGCGAGAGAAGTCCTTTCCGAGTTTTCGATTCTGATGGGTAAGATTCTGATGGGGCAGAGGAGCGAGAGCGATGAATTCTACGAGCTAACTCCGGAAGATTATGCTCGATTGGTGTCCAAGAAAAGAGAAGGTTAGCAGGTTCGATCGTGTTGGTTTCTTCCATATGATCTTTCACTCAAAGTTTCCTTTTTTTTGTTTTCCTTCCAGAGAGATTCTTGAAGACAGCAAAAAGCCGTGACGCTGAGGCAGCAGCTCGTAGATCCAAGTTTGCTAAGGTAATGAAACTGTCACTCCATGGATCGTCCGACTTACATTCTTTTCTCCTCGCAGGCCACACTTCGTGTCCAGTTCCCGGATAGCATCATCGTTGAGGCCGATTTTCGTCCTCTAGATCTGGTTGTGGAGCTTGTTACAATGCTGGAAAAATTGCTACTAAAGCCAGAGATCTGTGTAAGTTCTCCTTCAAAAACTCTTTTTTTTTTTGTTCTAGTTCGCAGATGGTCTTCTGGATCTCATTGTTCTCTGGAACTCAAGTTCATTGGCCTGCTTACGAGCATACAGCGGTGGAATGCAAGTATCCCATGTATGTCTCACTCGAAGCTTTGTTTGATCTTTGATGCATATATAGGTGCAAGTGTTCCTAGTGGAAGAGTGTTCCAAGGAGGATACATTGACGTTGATGGTGACTGACGTAATGATCATGAAGGAACTGTCAACGTGAGTTCATTTTCGTTTTTTTTGTTCATGCTAGCTGCAAATGCTATCAGCAACCAACATTATCAACATGTATGCCTGAATTATCAACAGGCATGCATATGATCAGTGTACAAAAATGTTTTTGGTTCTCCTGGTGCGAATTTGTTGTTTAACGTACTTCTGACGAGCAGCGACTGAAAATTTGCAGCATTCATGTCCAGGTCCTGAGCTTGCAGTGGAATATACATGGCTGGCCAGTGCCAGTGAAGCCTGGGTCCTTCAGTCTCTGTCTCTTCTCGATAGATCTTGTCCATTCCAAAGCACTTGACGGAGTTGCTAGTCTCTTGACATGCCATTGTCCTTGTAATGGGACTGGGTTTGATCTGCCAGTGACGATTCCCTACCATTGTGTTGCTTGCCTTTGCCCGGAGCTTACTCTCATTGTCCTGGTCTTCACCTTTTGTGTTATTCGATTTTAGAAAGCTGCAACATTTCATTGGAAAAGTTTTTGTTGCCCAGAAATGTTTGGTAGTTTATCTGTTTTCGCACTGGCCAAACATGACAATGACAATATGTTTTATTATCGATATTTGAATTTCATAAGACAAAATGCGATGCTCTACAAAACCTATCACATAACAATCCTAGCTTTCGGGACATTCTTGAAGTGCTTTGTAGTTATTGTTACTACCACCTCATTGTTTCTGCCATTTTCACCATCCTTGTTATTTTCGCTATGTTTCGCATCACCCCCCAACTTGCCAGAACTGCCAGCACTAACTGCCAAACTCATTGAAACCGCTAGTGCTAGTAGCCAATAGCTCACCGCTAGACTCGCCGAAACTACCAGCACCAACTGCCAAAACCATCATGTCACCAATTCCATGCACCACAACGTCTTTGGGAAGAGCCTCAAAAGATGATTTTTTGAACTTTTTTTTAAATACTTTTCAAACATCTGAATACTCAGTCAATTCAGTCAGAGCATGTAATCCCGAAAATGCTTTTGATCGTGAATGGGGAAAAATCAAAACTAACATGAACAGAAGGTACTGAAAGATGGTCGAGCTAAAGCCCTATAGTGGCCCTATGCATTACATTCGAAGATTTCCACAAAAGCCTCGAATGTAATGTGCCACTATCAGGTTTTGGCTCAACTATTTTCCGGTACCTCTTATTCACGTAAATTTTAATTTTCCCTCACTTGCAATCAAAAGTGTATTCGGGATCACGCACTCAGACTGAATAAGCACTCAAACGTTCAAAGAGCATTTAAAAAAAAGTTCAAAAACTCACCTTTCAAGGGTTTTCCCAAGGACGCTATGGCACATGAAATTGGTGACATGACGATTTTGGCAGTTGATGTTGGCAGTTCAGATGACTGTAACGGTGAGCCATTCACGGCTAACATTGGCGGTTTCAGTGAGTTTGGCAGTGAGCCTTTAATGGTTAGCATTGGCAGTTCCGGCAAATCGAGTGGTGATGGCAAAGATAGCAACAATAATGAAGACAGCAAGGATGGTGAGGATGGTGGAGATGATGAGGTGGCAGTAACAACAGCTGCAAAGCAAAGATTGTTATATGATTAAAAGCAAAAAAATGAACATAGAAAACAAAAAAGAAAGAAATGGGAAGCAAAGAGCAAGGAGTAAAAAGAGAAAAACCTTGTCTACAGCAACAAAGTCGTCATTCTTCAGCTGCTCCAGGAATGCAACCAGCTCAGAGGCTTCCTCCCATTGCCTAACATGGTCGCTAGTGGGAAAGAAGTGCTCTGCCTTAGTAGAGAATTGCTGCATCAGGACATCATGCACACAAACGAAATCATTAGAGCATGGAGAAGATAGGATAGAATCTACAAGAGTGTTTCTAGGGTAGTGAGTGTTATTATGGGGCAGCATGTATAAGAGCAAAAGAGACCGGGTTCGCTTACCCCCGCGTGGCGTGGTATGCCAGGCATCATGCCCGCATGCCAAAATCCGCATCATTTCCGAGTAAAAAGTGGCCGGATTCGAACCAGCGATTTACCACCGCATTAAAACGTCTCTAGTTCAAATCCACCACATTCCACGAGTTGCCTTGAGAGGCTGGCGCTGTCCACGTGCCGCTAGCTGGCGTATCCTAGCTTGTCCTCGGCCACGCCGAGATCAATCAGTCGCTTCTCAATGTCAAGAGCCCATGGCGATTGGATCCTCAACCTGGAAATCACACAACATGAATTTCCAGCAGAAACATGATGCCTCGGACCCCGTCGTTTTTCTGGTCGGTGCCAGTGAAAGTTTCGAGCACTTCGCTCGCATCACTTCCCCCAGTGTCTTCCAAACTCCCGCGAGAAATCCACACTGGCCTCTTCTCCTCCCCCTCCGTCTCGACCGATTCGTGATTCTTTTCCCCCGCTACACTGCCCCGGACGTTTCCACCTCCATCTTCCATACTGTCTCGAGAAGCCAGCGCGTCCGCGTCGTCCAGAGCAGTGCTCTCGCCTTGATTCTACCCGAATAACAAAGAAATAGAAGAAATCAGAATTCTCCAAGCTCAAACGATCGATCGATTGACGTACCTTGCTGTTCGCCCTGACGCAACTCGTTCCAGCACCGACCCAGCGCATCCAGAGCGATGGCGCCACAAGTCGCGAGCAGCAGCGCCCACAGAAAACCCTCTCGCATCCTAGCCCCGATCTCAGTTTCGCTCCACTCGATCCAATCCCGAATGCGCTCGCAGCAGCATTATTGTCGGTTGCCAGAGATAGCGAGGAATTTGACTGCCTGAACCAAACGAACAATGGAGCTAAGATCCATCTATAAAGCTCTAGAATAGAGCTTGAGAAAAGCTTGAGAAAATGCTAGCGAGGAAGAGATTGAAAGGAAGACTATCTGAGAGAGATATCACTCTATCGAGCAAGCTATCAAAGACGAAAGGAATCGAAACATACCATGCAATGAAGAAAATCTTGCTCTTTGGCACAGATCCTCTGTCACGAAATCGAAATCAAAGACAGCATACCGGCGATCGCTCTCTGGCAAGAACGCTGCAAAATCATCGTAGCTCTCGGCAGCTTCTCCACCACGACCTCGTTGGCGGCATCATCGATCTTGAAGATCTGGAGCTCCAGGAATTTGTTCTTGCACTCGCCACTCACGGCCATTCCAAAGCCTGCATTTCCCCTCAAGAACACGAAATCCAGTTAAGAATACCACGATATTTCGCGAGATTCAACCATACCAGGCCAGCGCTGAGCGATCGCCTCCACAAAAATGCTTATTCCGGGCCGGCCCCGGATTTCGATGCGCTTCGCGAAAGCCCACTAAGCGATCGAATATTCGTACTATTATAGACACTTTTATTTCACTGAGATTTGAACCCAGCACCTTTTCTTACTAAATGGGTGCTCTAACCAAAAGAGCTATGAAGGTTAATCAATCCTAGATTGAATGTTCGTAAAATTTCAAAAGCTTTCAATTAATTGCAGAAATCCATTTTTTTCTTTCAAAGTGAATTGTCTAAAATTCATTATTAACATATATTTTATTAAAATAGACATTGTTCATATAATTTAAACTGTCATTAAGTGAAGTATTGACTGATTTAATGACGGATTAAAGAAAAAGAAAACATTCACATAGTTGCATTTAATGTGTTCGCATCCACCGTCACGCTCGATACTGGCGCCTCTTTGCCAGCGTTTTCAGCAACCAACGTCACGCAGAGCTGAAACGTCATACAAGCCCCTGCCGACGCGGATGCCGAGCTGGACGATTGTGGACTCGGACACCTCCAGCTCATCATCTCGGAGCAGTCCTTGTACGGACAGATACACTTTATACTCCGTCCGGGATGCTCAAGTCCATGACGCGCTTGGCCAGCATTTCCAAGGTCTTCTCGGACAGCAAACGCCCACACTCTTCGTCGCTGAAACTCACCGCGCAGTTCACCGCCGGGCACCGGATCTCACCCTGCGTCACTTTCACCGCGGCGTGCCGCTCCACGAACCGGTGGTCACACCCCGACACCGCGGCGCAGATGGTACACACCTCGGTGACGTACGAACGGCATATTCTATCCCACGTGTTACGCATCCTCCACGGGTCGTGGTCCAGCTGGCGCAATCGACGGCTCTCCCAGCCGCCGGTCGGCCTAGTGCAAGCGGCGACGTCGGAATCTACCGATTCCATCCTTGATTCCATATGAGAAAAAAAAACCTCACTTCCAAAAGGAGTTTCCGAGGAATCGAAACAGCGACCTAAGGATGTCTGGAGCACGTCTTCCAACTGAGCTAAAGTCGGAGTGCTGAACAAAAATACTGGACCGCCAAATACTGGAAAAACTTTACCAGCGCGTTAAAACTTCTCTATACAAACTTGGTCTCACAGAAAATTTCTATTCATCGGTCCCTTCCGAGGCGGACTTCACATTCTTGATGTACTGCAAGGAAATCAAATTCACCGTGAAACTTTTGACAGCTTTCTATTAGCTTTGTTCATACCTTGTATAGCGTTCCACGAGTTGCCTTGAGAGGTGGCGCTGTCCACGCTTTCTTTCGTGCCGCTAGCTCGTCCTCGGCCAAAATCCCATCCATGATCCATGAGGTGTTAGCATCTCAGGCATTCCCGGACCACCCTTGGACCTTCTCCCCTGATAACAATCACGGAGCCTGAGAATTTCACCGATCACCAGTGACTTATATCTTGCTCTGGACTGAGAGAAAAAAAGCATACCTTGAAGCTTTGAGGATTCTCAGACAGCGCTGAAAGCATAGAGCCATCGGGAGCAAGGTTTCCATACAAGATCTGTATGTGGCCAGTCGACTTGATAGGCCGATCGAGTGGATGTATGACATCCTGTAAAATATTATGTCAAGGAAACACCAGGTTAAACTTTAAGTTACCTGTCCCTCGCTCAAGGGCGGGCAGATGGATATATTTTCCGACAAGGTCTTGCCAGTCATTGGACATACCAGAAAAGAGAGAGAGAGAGAAAAAAAACGTTACTTTGCGCAAGATGACTCCATTTCTTGAAGTTACCAGCGATGCAGTCGCCATTGAGGTAGCGCTCCTCAAGCAGATACTTTAAAACGCCAGGCGTTCCACCGATCTGTGACATCGCAATATATTGTGAGTCACCACAAACTGGGAATTACAGACCTTATGCAAGTCCTCCACTCTGGGCTTAAGATCAGCGATAAACGGAACTCTGTTACTAAATTTCTGAAAGGTCAGTGGCACGTTTACTGAAAATTTCTCGTAGATGAATTCTACGAGCTAACTCCGGAAGATTATGCTCGATTGGTGTCCAAGAAAAGAGAAGGTCGGCAGGTTCGATCGTGCTGGTTCTTCCATATGATCTTTCACTCGAAGTTTCCTTTTGTGTTTTTTCTTTTGCCTTCCAGAGAGATTCTTGAAGACAGCAAAAATCCGTGACGCTGAGGCAGCAGCTCGTAGATCCAAGTTTGCCAAGGTACTGAAATTGTCATTCCATGGATCGTCCGACTTACATTCTTTTCTCCTCGCAGGCCACACTTCGTGTCCAGTTCCCGAGGCCGATTTTAGTCCTCTAGATCTGGTTTTGAAGCTTGTTACAATGCTGGAAAAATTGCAGCTAAAGCCAGAGATCCCGTTCCATCTGTGTAAGTCCTCCTCCCAAAACTCTTTTTTTGTTCTTGTTCATGCAGCTTACACTTTGAAACACAGACACAACGCCTCCCAAGCAAATCCTCAAGGACTACAATGTTACCATGTACGATGCTGGCTTAGTTCCAGGAGCTCTTGTTTATCTATCCAACAGTGGTAAGGGTCTCTTTGCACGAAGTTCCAGCGGTTCTAAGGGATCTCTTTTCCTCCAGATTTCCAAGGGCCATATCTTAAGGAGATCGTACTCGCTTCACAGCATTCGGATGAAGAATCCAAACACCAAGTTTTAGCTCCACCAGCGGGATCTCCTCCTCGAGTAGCGTCCCCGGAAGAAACACGACCAAGCTCTCGACAAACAGTTCCTGTTTGTAAAGGAAGCAAGCCCAAGCCCAAATGGTTGAAGCTTGGGAAATGAAAAGTTTTGGAAAGTAAGAAAATGGAAAGTTTCGGTGATTTCGTGGAGACACGGGGTTGAGTTGTAAATTGTGGAAAATCAATAAAAATTATATCTTGACGAATGTACATTCAAAGACCATGCTTCTAGTAAACCTTTGAAACTATTGCCCTTAGAAACTCGTCTGATTTAAATCTTACAATAATCCTTTATAAATGAAGATGTTATAGAACAACTACAAATAAATATTGAATGCCCCAAGTTGTTCCGGTACATCCGGGATCTCAAGGCTGAGAGGTTGCAGCAAATGTACAACCTGCAAGATTTATTTTCAAAGCTTTTGAAACTTTTTTATTGGACACACTGCAGAATCAAGTGGAGCAAAGCAAACGGATGACTCAAGAACGAAAAAAAGTATCTGTGTAACTTAACTCTCACGGACAGCGGCAACAAAGTTTAGGCATGTTCTTGCAGAACGAGATCAGCAGCTGTAGAATCTGTAGCTGAACCCGTAACAGTGCCACTTTGATTTATAGCATCATGGAGGCACCAAAGATGGTGTGAACATAAAAACATAACTCACAACTGAAAGATTCTGAGTTGGAATGGTGCTCCAGGTCTTACTCTCATAATCCAGAAAATAAAGCTTTTCCTCGTCCGGAATCATGAAGGTGCCTTCGTAAAAACAGATTGGAGGGATAGGATAGCGTTTCTCATTGTAATCACAGCCTGCCTCCTGAACATGTCCGTTTGATGCACAGTCCAACCTTATCAGCCCCATCTGGTCTTCTACCATAGCCACCATGAAAAACTGATTTGCTGTTGTTACCATCCATTTGTATATAGACCAGCAAATTTGAATAGGGGAATTGTCTTTGAAAGATGACCACTCAACAAACCATCTCATTTCTTCCATGTTGAAGCTCAAAATCCCCCACATACAGTCATGTTCGGCAGAAAAATAAGCGTTGCTGTTAGCCATCCCAACTCCATATTTGAGATTACCCCAGCCAGGAAGGTAATCCACCGTGTCCCACACTCCCGATCTTGAGTGATATACATGCAATTGCTTTGCTATATCTCCCGCTATACAAATCCAGTAACGCTGCATGGACGGTTCCAATACCAGGGCACAATGAATATTCGGGGATATATATGCTGCTTCCAGGGGCGGCGGGGGAAGCACCTTGAGAGCTCGGGTGAGCGGATTGAGAGCAACATAGTCCTGGCCCATCTTTCCAAACAGCAATCCACCACAAGCCTTGACAACCCTGATGGGACCATAGACATCCTGACGGACCCAATCCTTCTGTGCTTCGGATCCAGCAACGAACGGGTTGCAGCTATAGAGTTCCTTACCATTTCGAGTTATACCCAAGACACGAGGAGGGCAAATCGGCTTGTTTATAGAGTGGTGTGCTGAATGGAACTTTGCAAATCTTGGTGAGTCTATGAGATCCCTCCACCGTTTGCACACGGCCCTGACGCGGCGGTGCAAAACAACTGCTGGCAAGCGCTTCAAAACCTCCTCTTCAACTATGTGCACCAAGATATCCATACCTACCCTTACAGAAAGGGCTTCTTCTAGGTAGTTTGCAGTTTAAAAACGTTAAACAAACCGTCAAAAAACATTCATGTACAAGAAGCTGCATTCCGTCCTCCTCGATCCGCTCCATTGCTATGGAGCTCCTTCCAGGCATCGCAGGAGCAGCCTCCGGCAGATGCCAAGCAGGAATTTCGAGCTTAATCTCCCAGCTTGTACCATTTGCTGCAGCCTCTCAGCCTCTTCATGGAGATCACGGACTTACCGAAACAACTCTGGCACAACATTTTAAACCTTTAGAGCGTTGTTTCCAGATCATGTATCTGTAACGTTTTGCTTGAAACAAGTCCAAGATACCGGCAAGAAACGAACCCTGCCCTCTGAAGCCTCCCTCCCTATTCCTCTTGCAGTGGGCATTTTGCCGGTTTTACTATGCTGAGTGAACTGGATAGTGGCAAGATCGTCAGTCAGGTCCTTGGCTTTCTTTCCCGCAATTCTTAGACTTTGGAAGTCACAACCTCACACAGTGTTACCATTGTCTGGAAAGACTAACCTTCATACGCGTAAATTGTGCATGTATAGCAGGATCCAGCAAAAGACGACGTGACTGAGACCAAACAAAGTTGTAAGATCAAGCGTTGGAGGCCTCAACGGAAGCTTGAAATCGTGAACGAGAGTCTAAAGTGCAATCGCAACAGAAAATAGAAACATTGAAGAGAGATGCCTTCATCTCTGCAATTTCTTGCGCTCCTTGTTTGACAATTGGATCAGCATGACAGCTTCCTTACGCCTGGAAGATGCGCGCTGTGAAAAGACAATCAGAAAACAAAAAGGAAAATGAAAATACACAGCTCACAACACCAAACTTGCAAACCTGGTCTTTCAAGCAGCTTCGGATGCTTGGAGAGATTTTATATGGTCCAAGATCAGACGAGGTAATAACAACATATAAAAACACAAACATATAAGATTATGTAACTAGAACAAAAAAAAAAAAAAAAGAGTTTTGGGAGGAGAACTTACATAGATGGAACGGGATCTCTGGCTTTCGCAGCAATTTTTACAGCATTGTAACAAGCTCCACAACCAGATCTATAGGACTAAATCTGCCTCAATGATGGTCCTATCCGGGAACTGGACATGACGTGTGGCCTGCGAGGAGAAAAGAATGCGAATTGGAGGTTAGTCTTTACAGACAATGGTAACACTGTGTGAGGTTGTGACTTCCAAAGTCTAAGAATTGCGGGAAAGAAAGCCAAGGACCTGACTGACGATCTTGCCACTATCCAGTTCACTCAGCATAGTAAAACCGGCAAAATGCCCACTGCAAGAGGAATAGGGAGGGAGGCTTCGGAGGGCAGGGTTCGTTTCTTGCCGGTATCTTGGACTTGTTTCAAGCAAAACGTTACAGATACATGATCTGGAAACAACGCTCTAAAGATTTAAAATGTTGTGCCAGAGTTGTTTCGGTAAGTCCGTGATCTCCATGAAGAGGCTGAGAGGCTGCAGCAAATGGTACAAGCTGGGAGATTAAGCTCGAAATTCCTGCTTGGCATCTGCCGGAGGCTGCTCCTGCGATGCCTGGAAGGAGCTCCATAGCAATGGAGCGGATCGAGGAGGACGGATTGTACATGAATGTTTTTTGACGGTTTGTTACCTAGAAGAAGCCCTTTCTGTAAGGGTAGGTATGGATATCTTGGTGCACATAGTTGAAGAGGAGGTTTTGAAGCGCTTGCCAGCAGTTGTTTTGCACCGCCGCGTCAGGGCCGTGTGCAAACGGTGGAGGGATCTCATAGACTCACCAAGATTTGCAAAGTTCCATTCAGCACACCACTCTATAAACAAGCAGATTTGCCCTCCTCGTGTCTTGGGTATAACTCGAAATGGTAAGGAACTCTATAGCTGCAACCCGTTCGTTGCTGGATCTGAAGCACAGAAGGATTGGGTCCGTCAGGATGTCTACGGTCACATCAGGGTTGTCAAGGCTTGTAAAGATGGGCCGTGACTATGTTGCTCTCAATCCGCTCACCCAATCTCTCAAGGTGCTTCCCCCGCCGCCCCTGGAAGCAGCACAGATATGCCTGAATATTGATTGTGCCCTGGTATTGGAACCGTCCATGCAGAGTTACTGGATTTGTATAGCGGGAGATGAAGAAAACCAATTGCATGTATATCACTCAACATCGGGAGTGTGGGACACGGTGGATTACCTTCCTGGCTGGGATAATCTCAAATATGGAGTTGGGATGGCTAACAGCAACGCTTATTTTTCTGCCGAACATGGCCGTATGTGGGGGATTTTGAGCTTCAACATGGAAGAAATGAGATGGTTTGTTGAGTGCTCATCTTTCAGGGACAATTCTGTGTACAAATGGATGGTAACAACAGCAACTCAGTTTTTCATGGTGGCTGTGCTAAAAGGCCAGATGAGCCTGATGAGGTTGGACTGTGCATCGAACGAACTTGTTCAGGAGGCAAGCTGTGATTTCAATGAGGGACGCTATCCTATCCTTCCTATCTGTTTTTACGAAGGCACCTTCATGATTCCGGACAAGGAGAAGCTGTTTTTTCTGGATTATGAGAGCAAGACCTGGAGCAGCATTCCAACTCAGAATCTTTCAGTTGTGAGTTATGTTTTGATGTTCGCACCATCTTTGGTGCCTCCATGATGCTATGAATCAAAGTGGCGCTGTTACGGGCTCTGAAGCGAGTTCAACTACAGATTCTACAGCTGCTGATCTTGTTCCGCAAGAACATGCCTGAACTCTGCTGCCGCTGTCCCCTGATAGTTAATTTACACAGATACTTTTTTCGTTCTTGATTCATCCGTTTGCTTTGCTCCACTTGATTCTGCAGTGTGTCCAATAAAATAGTTTCAAAAGCTTTGAAAATAAATCTCGCAGCTTGTAAAATTTGCTGCAACCTCTCAGCCTATTCATTGAGATCCCAGATGTACCAGAACAACTCGGGCATTCAATATTTATTTGTAGTTGTTCTATAACATCTTCATTTATAAAGGATTATTGTAAGATTTAAATTAGACAAGTTTCTATGGGCAATAGTTTCAAAGGTTTACTAAAAACATGATCTTTGAATGTACATTCGTCAAGATATAATTTTTATTGATTTTTCCACAATTTACAACTCAACCCCGTGTCTCCACGAAATCACCGAAACTTACTTTCCAAAACTTTTCATTTTCCAAGCTTCAACCATTTGGGCCTGGGCTTGCTTCCTTTACCAAGAGGAACTGTTTGTTGAGAGCTTGGTCGTGTTTCTTCCGGGGACGCTACTCGAGGAGGAGATCCCGCTGGTGGAGCTAAAACTTGGTCTTTGGATTCTTCATCCGAATGCTGTGAAGCGAGGACGATCTCCTTGAGATATGGCCCTTGGAAATCTGGAGGAAAAGAGATCCCTTAGAACCGCTGGAACTAAGTGCAAAGACACCCTTACCATTGTTGTAGGATAGATAAACAAGAGCTCCTGGAACTAAGCCAGCATCGTACATGGTAACATTGTAGTCCTTGAGGATTTGCTTGGGAGGCGTTGTGTCTGTCTTTCAAAGTGTAAGCTTCATGAACTAGAACAAAAAAAGAGTTTTGAGAGGAGAACTTACACAGATGGAACGGGATCTCTGGCTTTAGCAGCAATTTTTCCAGCATTGTAACAAGCTCCAAAACCAGATCTAGAGGACTAAAATCGGCCTCAACGATGATGCTATCCGGGAACTGGACACGAAGTGTGGCCTGCGAGGGGAAAAGAATGTAAGTCGGGCGATCCAGACAATTTCAGTACCTTAGCAAACTTGGATCTACGAGCTGCTGCCTCAGCGTCACGGATTTTTGCTGTCTTCAAGAATCTCTCTGGAAGGCAAAAGAAAAAACGCAAAAAGGAAACTTTGAGTGAAAGATCATATGGAAGAACCAACACGATCGAACCTGCCGACCTTCTCTTTTCTTGGACACCAATCGGGCATAATCTTCCGGAGTTAGCTCGTAGAATTCATCGCTCTCGGCCTCCTCTGCCCCATCAGAATCATACCCATCAAAATCGAAAACTCGGAAAGGACTTCTCTCGCCTTTGCCAGTCGCGTGCTGAATCGGGGCCTCCAACGCCGCGGGATTGACGAACACACGGAGATCTCTTCCAATCAAGCTTCTCACTGCCGCCTGTAAGAGAGGATTTTCAGGATTGGAGAGTTCATCAAACGATACAAACCAGCGATTGCTGCCAGGCGCCGGGCGAAGAATGCGCTTCGCTCGCCATAAAACCTTATTAGGGTTCTTCCAAGAAAGGGCTATATATGGCAACGCTGACGTCACTGAAATGGGGGGAAAATTATTTCTAGGGTTCATGATCGCGTCGCGGGCGCTAGCTGGACGATCCACGACTGGATTGGAGAGGCGCATTGGAGTATTGGATTGGAGGTATGCCGCGCTGCTCCTTTTCAGCAGAGGATTCCAGGAGAGATCCAAGCGACCGAAGATTGGGGCGGGGATTCCCGTGAAGCCGCCATTGGCACCAAAGAAGCCGCTGGACGATTGGGACATCGAGAGTGATCCCGAGGGGGATTTTGAGCCGACTAGGAAATGCAAATCGCTGCTCAAGAAGAGGGGACGTTGGTCTTTGCATATGGCCAAAATTCTTGCTACATTCTCCACAACGAGCCTCAACAATGCTATCAAGTGAGTGATTTTTCTTTCTCTTTGCATTTTTTTCCTTGTTTCTTTGGTTATTTGGTTCCATTTTTTCGTCTCTTTTTACCTTTCCTTTTTGTTCTTTGTTTCGAAGATGGGGATGCTTACCGGACGAATGCTATGATGCTGTTATGACGCTCCAGGTAGTTTTTCTCCCTTCGACCATCACAATCTATCTAAAAAATGGTCTTTTTGGTCCTTTTTTCCAGAAGATGGAAGCCACTGGAGTTTTGGTTGGAAAGCGAAGGCTCTATAACTACTTGGGTGAGAGCTCATTCTTTCTTGTGATGGATGATAGATGTTCTTGTCTGAATGCAGCGGGTTTGCTTCACAATGCCAGCCCTTCTGTGGTGGAGTATGTTTTGCATAGTCTGCAACGCGAAGAGCCTGCCATCAAGAGAATTGGAGGAATTAGAGACAATGAGGTATGCATGAGGTCCTTTTGAAATCTTTCTAATCAAGAATGATTTTTCATAGATGGAAGAGTATACCATGAGCTTGTCTGACAAATGGTTTGATGGCCTCATGTCCGGAAACTTGAATATCCACAATGACATCCATTGTTTACCATACGAGATGTTTGACAGAGAGGTGAGTTTGTCTTTGTGATAAACACTTAAATACGTTTCTTTCGTGTTTCAGGAGCTCCGGTGGCTTATAAAGAACCTCAAGGGAAGGATTTACATGAGAGACAAGCTTCCAATGAAGGATCCGCTGTGGGAGCATCGATCAACGAAATGCGTCCGTGCTGAGAACCGCTTGAGACGTTTCTTACAAGATCTAGCCCGGAGAGATTACAGTGGTAAAGCTTACGACAAGGCACAAAAGGAGGAGGCAAAAACCGGTGTATGCAGACCATTTGTTCTCAACTGGAAGTAACACGATGGTAAGCGAGTTTTATTTGTATGATTACTGACGCTTCTTATTTCTTCTCCAGAAGTTCCGAGAATACAGTGTCACATTTCAACAGCCTTTAAAATGGTCGTCCAAAACTCGCTCGTTTCTAACATTCGTTTTCCTTGTAGAGGATTTATCTGGTTACCAGGTGCGTCACCTTTCAGCAATGTATGGATCATTCTCATCGTCCGAGAGAGGAGGTACTCCTCAGGATTGAAGCGAGCGTCGAGGTGGAAATAGCTGCCATCAGGAAGAACAGAACCACAGGATTCCCATTTGCAACAATTGCTTCTTGAGGTGTGTGTTCCAGTAGTTTTTAATCTTGTTGTCAGTTCGTCCAGGAATGTGCGATGCGATCACGGACCACCTGAAAGTGAAACACGCAAGAGCTTAGAGAACGCAAGAATTTAGAGGTAAAACTCTACAAACTGTTACCGTTTTCGCAGGATTGAATGCAGCCAGATGTTGAGAAGCTCTTCTTGGGCTGTGATCCCGCCTCGTTTTATATCCGGCCGGAGATAGTTTGTCCATCGCAGCCTGCACCGCAACGATTGAGTCCTGCTCGCAAGATCTAGGAGAAACAAGATGTGAGAAAATCGATTCACCCGCTTTCTCCGGTAGCGATTCTTGTGACCGTGTTTCCGAATGTCAGCGACGAGCTTCTCGGGGGCCTTTCGTGAGTCCCTCTTTGCTCCGGCGAGGAGGCCTCCCCATTGCAAAGCAAGGAGAAGTAAAGAGAGAGTTCTATAGACAGTGTGATTGTGTATTTATTTGTACACATTCCAGTGGAAGAAGCCTGGAGTGTGAGCTAGATTGCTAGACTTCTCCCTCTTGTCAAAAGGTTTCTTTTGGATTCACCGCTTTAGAGTTATAGACCGTCGCGGCTTTCAAAAGCTTGTCTTGTCATTTAGACGCGTTCCAGAAGACCACGTTGTAGTGGTGGAATAAAGCGGGCGTAAGCCCGGGCGAGGCTCACCCGGCTAGAAGTGGTCAAGCCTGTCACCTCTGTATCGATCCACAGTCGAATCGATCGCTCCGGTCCACTTCAAGATCCCCCCAATCCTGCCTGGCAAGAAGTGCCGGCTGATCCCCCCGACCACGTCAGTGCTTACATGTCTTGCCTCACTTTGCAGTACGGGATTAGTATTGGCCGCTACAAAGTCATGGCTGCCGTATATTTCTTAGTCACTGCAGTTGCCAACCATACAGTACCCAAGTACGAAGGACGTGCTAGAAAGATTGGATTCTTCGCCACCTTTTTCTTTTGAAAGAAAGTAGGAACAAAGAATTACATGGACATTTTGATCGTAATTAATCTTAAACCTGGTCCAAAACCCTAAATCCTGGTGAGAAAATGAGAAAATGGAGAAAATGGAGCCCTCGCAAGAATGCGGCGCCGGCCTAGGTTCGATCGTGTTGGTTTCTTCCCTATGATCTTGCACTCAAAGTTTCCTGTTTTTTTAATCTTTTGCCTTCCAGAGAGATTCTTGAAGAAATCCGTGACGCTGAGGCAGCGGCTCGTAGATCCAAGTTTGCACCGAAACTTCCATTTTTTACTTTCCAAAACTTTTCATTTTCCATGCTTCAGCCATTTGCTTCCTTTACCAACAGGAACTGTTTGTCGAGAGCTTGGTCGTGTTTCTTCCGGAGATGCTACTCGAGGAGGAGATCCCACTGGTGGAGCTAAAACTTGGTCTTTGGATTCTTCATCCGAATGCTGTGAAGCGAGGACGATCTCCTTGAGATATGGCCCTTGGAAATCTGGAGGAAAAGAGATCCCTTAGAACCGAACTTCGTGCAAAGAGACCTTACCATTGTTGTAGGATAGATAAACAAGAGCTCCTGGAACTAAGCCAGCATCATACATGGTAACATTGTAGTCCTTGAGGATTTGCTTGGGAGGCGTTGTGTCTGTGTTTCATGGAAGGCAAAAGGAAAAAAAAAGGAAACTTTGAGTGAAAGATCATATGGAAGAAACCAGCACGATCGAACCTGATCGAGCTCACCGCCGGTGCCGCATTCTTGCGAGGGCGCGCTCCATTTTCTCACCAGAATTTAGGCTTTTGGACCCTGTAAGTTTAAGATTAATTACGATCAAAATGTCCAGGTAATTCTTTGTTCCTACTTTCTTTCAAAAGAAAAACGTGGCGAAGAATCCAATCTTTCTAGCACGTCCTTCGTACTTGGGTACTGTATGGCCGGCAACTGTATTGACTAAGAAATATACGGCAGCCATGACGTTGTCGTACTGCAAAGTGAGGCAAGACATGTAAGCACTGACGTGGTCGGGGGGATCAGCCGGCACTTCTTGCCAGGCAGGATTGGGGGGATCTTGAAGTGGACCGGAGCGATCGATTCGACTGTGGATCGATACAGAGGTGACAGGCTTGACCACTTCTAGCCGGGTGAGCCTCGCCCGGGCTTACGCCCGCTTTATTCCACCACTACAACGTGGTCTTCTGGAACGTCTAAAAGAGAAAAGCTTTTGAAAGCCGCGACGGTCTATAACTCTAAAGCGGTGAATCCAAAAGAAACCTTTTGACAAAAGGGAGAAGTCTAGCAATCTAGCTCACACTCCAGGCTTCTTACACTGGAAAAGTGTACAAATAAATACACAATCACACTGTCTATAGAACGCTCTCTTTACTTCTCCTTGCTTTGCAATGGGGAGGCCTCCTCGCCGGAGCAAAGAGGGAGTCACGAAAGGCCCCCGAGAAGCTCGTCGCTTACATTCGGAAACACGGTCACAAGAATCGCTACCGGAGAAAGCGGGTGAATCGATTTTCTCACATCTTGTTTCTCCTAGATCTTGCGAGCAGGACTCAATCGTTGCGGTGCAGGCTGCGATGGACAAACTATCTCCGGCCGGATATAAAACGAGGCGGGATCACAGCCCAAGAAGAGCTTCTCAACATCTGGCTGCATTCAATCCTGTGAAACCGGTAACAGTTTGTAGAGTTTTACCTCTAAATTCTGCGTTCTCTAAGTTCTTGCGTGTTTCACTTTCAGGTTGTCCGTGATCGCATCGCACATTCCTGGACGAATTGACAACGAGATTAAAAACCACTGGAACACACACCTCAAGAAGCAATTGTTGCAAATGGGGATCCTGTGGTTCTGTTCTTCACGTTTTTCATATTACATTTATAAAGGATTACTGTAAGATTTAAATCAGACAAGTTTCTAATATGGGCAATAGTTTCAGAAGTTTACTAGAAGCATGATCTTTGAATGTACATTCGTCAAGATATCAACCCAACTACAAATAAAATACTGAATGCCCGAGTTGTTCTGGTACGTCCAGAATCTCAATGAAGAGGTTGAGAGGTTGCAGCGAATGTTACAAGCTGTGAGATTTGTTTTCAAAGCTTTTGACATTTTTTTATTGGACACAGGTCCGTATACTGCAGAATGAAGTGGAGCAAAAGGAACGCAAACGGATGAATCAAGAACGAAAAAAAGTATCTCTGTAACTTAACTCTCACGGACAGTGGCAGCAAAGTTCAGGCATGTTCTTGTGGAACGAGATCAGCAGCTGTAGAATCTGTAGCTGAACTCGCTTCAGAGCCCGTAACAGTGCCACTTTGATTTATAGCATCATGGAGGCACCAAAGATGGTGTGAACATAAAAACATAACTCACAAGTGAAAGATTCTCAGTTGGAATGCTGCTCCAGGTCTTACTCTCATAATCCAGAAAATAAAGCTTTTCCTCCGGAATCATGAAGGTGCCTTCGTAAAAACAGATTGGAGGGATAGGATAGCGTCCCTCATTTAGCTTGCTTTAGCTTGCAGTCGCGGGATTTTATAGCTGATAGCATCGAGACTGTCATGGGTGGACAGTGGTACGATGCAAATGTCTCCATTCCAGGCTGCGAGGTGACCGACTATGCTCCCCTTTCTCATTGTTGTTTCTTTTTGGTCTTCTCATTCTTCCTTTGTGCTTTAGATGCCAGGAACTCTCATTGCAATGGGAAGGCTGAATCAACCAAGCATTATGGAACTATCAAAGTAAGTTTTCTCTTTCTTTTTGGTTTCTTTTGTTCGCACTTGCTGAAACTGTTGATTCAGCCAGGAGTCCTGAACGGGCATGCGTACGATATAGTGTCAGCTTTCCAGGTATTTCTGGTTCGTTTTGTTTCTCATGGTGGTCACGTAAACGAAGCTTATGCTGTGTTTCGGTTTGTTTTTGTTAACGTACAGACAGCTACCGAGAATATGTTGGTGGTCACATTTCTGACCAGCAGCGACTGAACGTTTTGCAACATTCATGTCCTGGAACTTGTGGTGGAATGTACACGGCAAATACCATTGAAGCCTTAGGCATGTAACGCTGTCCAGGTGAGCAGACCATGCTTGGGCATTCTCTGAGATATTCTGTGTACCTCTTCCATATACCCGTTTTAGGCATAGGCTGGGCATCCGGTTGAAGAGCGATGTGGAGTCTGGATGTTTCAATGTTTGACATTCAGCGGTATGATAAATTCTTTGTTGTTTCATTCCCCTTGCTGGCATTACTAGCTTTGTCCTTGTCAGCATCACCAGCATTGTCTGCCTCACCTACCACATCTGATTCTAGTTTTGACTTTGTTGCCATTGTCACCTTTGGTTGTTATGCCACTAATTCCAACTTCACCCATGCCTTCGTTGTCTTTGTTTTTGGGAAGAGTTTTGAGCAACAATTTTTTTAATATCTTCTTGAATGACTTATCTATATTGAGCTATTTGTGCAGTTAAAGGTGTTAAGCGCAAGTGGTCTAATGGAAATAAGTAATATTTAAGAAATTATTGTTTAAAGCTTTTTTTTATGATAATATGGTTGAAATTGGTGGTGTGCAAAATAGTGCATACTGAGGATGATGTGGTGGGTGAGGCAAAGAATGTTGGCAAGGGTGATAGGGTAGTAGTAGCAGCTGCAAAAGTATTTTGAAAATATCCTTCAGAGTTGAGAGGACATTGTTCGTCATGGGTTTTGATAAAAATGTTATAGTTTGTCTTATAGTGAAATTCAAAGATTTGTAATAAATCATATTTTCATTGTTATAATTGGATCCTAGCACTAGAAAGAATCACAAAGATGCTACACTATACAAAAGCTACCTCACATTTGGGTGACAAGAACTTTTCCAGTGAATGTCGAGCGAATGTCACAGCTTTTTGAAATCCTTTACCTGAAATAGCACAAAAGACTGGGACATTGAGAATGAAACAGACCTTTAGATAGCCAACTTTGTTGGCGAGCAACACAATGGTGGGGAATCATCATTGCCAGGGGATCAAAGTTGCCACTACCCAGCGCCTTTACAAGGACAATGGCATGTCAAGTGACTCTCGTATCTTTCAGCTTCAAAAACTCTGTCAAGTGCTTTCCAGGCACTCTTGAGGAATGGAAAGTGTGATTCCAAGTCTTTAAATGGAATGGAAAATATGCATGTACAAAAGAAGATAAATTCTATCGAGAAGAGACAAAGACCTGTATAAAGGACCCAAGGCTTCTCTGGCACTGGCCAGCTGTGTATATTCCGCCACAAGCTCAGGACCTGGACACGAATGCTGCAAACTTTCAGTCGCTGCTCGTCAGAAGTACGTTAAACAACAAATTCTCGAAAGAAAAAAGAACCAAAAATATGCCTGGTAGCTGGTAGCATTTGCAGCTACAAACCAAAAAAATGAAAACGATAAGAAAGAACTCACGTTGACAGTTCCTCCGTGATCGATTACCTCACCATCAACGTCGATGTATCCTCCTTGGAACACTCTTCCACTGGGAACACTTGCACCTATAAATGCATCAAAGATCAAACAAAGCTTTGAGTGAGACATACGTGAGATACTTGCATTCCACCGCTGTATGCTCGTAAGCAGGCCAATGAACTTGAGTCACAGAGAACAATGAGATCCAGAAGACCATCTGCAAACTGCTATGGACGTAAGAGAATGCGAAATCTTAAGTGTGACCTTGGACTCGGGTTTACCCCAAGGAACGTTTTGCAGCAAAACCATCACGGATGCTCCCTCCATCACTCTCCAGTTGCCGAGGATACCAGTTAGGCGTAAGCCATGCGTAATTGCCTCTGCAAAAGGAGTGGAGCTCCATCATACTGCGTGGTATTCACTGAGTTGGCCATCTCTCTCGCATGAAGCTGGTGAAACAGAGAAAGTTTTATGTCACGAGAAAACACCTTCTTTTGTGACCTCAATGCGAGCTGCTGGGAGTTAGTCTTCATTGATGAAAACGATCGATCTCTCCGGCAAAGAAAAGTCCAGGAAAAGGAAATCACACTCAGCAAGAAGATCTACTTACATGATCGGCATCTCACAGTCCTCTTGCGCTGATTGCCTCCACAACACCCCTTCTCTGTGAATCCATGAATGTCGGTGCTGATCCCATGGCCGTCATTTCAACACCCCCGAGGAGCTGAAAGACCGAGCAAGGGCTGCGCAGCTTACGTGGTTTGCTCGGAAGGGCAAACTATCAATGCTTCACTTAATAGATCCGCAATAAATCGAAGTGATCTATTATAAGGCGAGCAAACTTTGTGTCCTGCACATCGCGAACGAATTCAGTAACCAGAAAAATAAAGTTTCCACTACCTCGAAATTGCGATGTCTTTGTCGATCCTCATTACAAGGACCATGGCATTGTGAAGCGACTCTTTCGTGCTCATAAGCTCCATCAAGGGCTTTCCAAGCAGCCGGTACTCATGTAACTTTAGAGGGTCTTCAGATGGAATGGAAGAACTACACTTTACAAAAGAAGGAAATAAGTTTCTATCCAAAATAGACAGAGACCTGTAAGGAAGGGACGTGCAAGGCTTCACTCGTGTACATTCCGCCACAAGCTTAGCACCTGGACATGAATGCTCCGCTGCTCGTAAGAGGTGCATTATAACAAAATCGCAGCGTGTTACGCGAATAAACAGAACCAGAAATACCTGGAAAGCTGAACACTGATCGTATGTATCCCCACAACAGCATTTTCAGCTAGTACGAAAATTGAATGAAAGCGAAAAAAAAAAAACTCACGTTGAATCTTATAGAGAGATGCCTGGAATTGAGACATTTGCATCGTACCACTGCTCTCAGCTATCAAATCCTCGTCACAACCCCGCCACTGACATCGATGTATCCTACTTGGAACAGTCTTCCACCAGGAACGCTTTCACCTATGAATGAAAAATCTTACGCTCTTCCTGTAAGCTTTTTGAGCGACTTACTTTGACATACGTGAGATACTTGGATTCCACCGCTTTCCCTTGCTGTATGCTTGTAAGCAGGGCGATGAGCTTGCAGTCCCGGATAGAAATTCGTCTGCAAACCGCTATGAAAAGACAACGAGATCTTAGAGTGTGTACCTTGGACTCGGGGAAGCCTTCACTAGCCCAAGGAACGTTAAACATCACGAATGCTCCCTCCATCACTCTCCAGTCGCTTCTCAGCGACGAGGATACCGGTCCCGAGTAGCTGGTCGCAGCGCGTTTCCTTCTCTCGTTGTCACACTCGACTTTGATGCCATCGAGCTTGCCGTAGTAAGGTGCTCCAGGCGCTGGACCGTAGGTGAAAACACCGTTGTACCGCCAGAAGCGTAAGATACGTAACATACGTAAGATACGTATCAAGAGTAAGATACGTAAAATATGTATCAAGCGTAAGATGCGTAAGATACGTATCAAGCTCTGCAACGTTCACATGTTATTTTAGCTCTTTCATGAAGACCACTTATCATCGATACCTTTCGGATTTAATGTCGACGTCCGCGACAAATCCTGAAACGCAGCTAGCACTTTTTTAAGCCATGTCTCGCAAGCTGGATTTTAGTCAATAAACTACAGACGAGAAGAAAAGAAAACAAGTTGAAACCTTCTTTCGTGACCTCAATGCGAGTACCCTGAAAAAAAATTTCCATCGAGCACCACGACTCCATTCTATAAAAAGTTTCGCCCTAATCTAAAGTATCTCTGGTATATTCTTCGCATCTCTTCACGAGGTTTCTCTTTAACTTCATGCATGCTGAGAAATCGATACCATGCGAGCCTCGCGGATGAAAATCACTTAAATCCAGTGGCATTGAAGCTGATGGCAACACTCCACAATCCAGCCACTGTAAAAACATATAAAAGGATCAAACTTCCTGTATCGGCAACCTCTATACCGAGGAACCGAAATGTTTATCTATAGCATCAAATCCTCTTTTGCCGTGTGTCCGTACGATTTTTTTGGCAAGCCCACATCGGGGCCGTACAATTCGTGGGGGACGGTGGAGATGTAAGCAATTGTGAACCGTTTGCTGAAAGTCCCATGGAGATAGTTTTGAATCCTCACAACCTTGTTCATTCATTCTAGGGTTTCGGGAGGGCGGGGAGCGCGCGTCGCCGCTCGCGTGGATCTTGGTAAGCGCCTCGAATCTCTCTCGCTCCCTCAATCGATCTAGCAGGCATTGTGCGTAGCTCCCTGACCTGATCAGTTTGTGTTCTTGGAGCTCTGCTCCAGGAAAAGCTCCTGGACAATCCTTCTATTCTTTCAATGCAGTGTGTTTGTCTGGCTAACTGATCTTAAAACACCGTTTTTCTTGTCCTAAGAAATGCCTTTTGGTTTGGTACTTTAGCCTGGCTTTAAGATTGATGAGCTCCTTTTAAGCATTCGATCTTTCTGTGCCTCGAGGCATCCGACCTCCTCGAGATCACACAGACTTGACAGCTTTTCTTTCCATGCTTGTTTTTCGTTTGCTTTGTAGTTCATTTGTCTGGCTAACTAAATTCCTTTGCTACTTTTCTAGAATTATCGAGCCGAGGTGCTCTTGAACTTCTTTCGAAGTCCTTATAAGTTTTAACGCTACTGAACTCCTCCCGACTGATCGCTCGCTATTTCTTTTTCCACAAAGCAGCGTACCTGGTCCTTCTAGGATCGATCAAACTTCCACGAGATCTGGCAACGCGCACCGCCAAGCAGCGTTTTTGACTTGTATGGAGCTAGTTGTATGGAGCCAGATGTCAACCCGCGTATCTAAACCGCTCAAACGGAGGCTACAAACTTGCGACTTACGGGGCCGTTGTGGACCACTCCAACGCTTACTCAGCTTCGCGGAGAATCTGGAAATCTGGTTGAGAGCAGATAACTCGGCGGCTTATACGATTCGATGCGATTTGATACGTTGAATCCTTCTCTCAAGTCGGGCGACTGATCAAGTCAACCGAGTAAATCTCCAAAACCGTGTGGCGCACAGGTCAGTGGGACGTCTTTCTTCTCCGTACTTAACTGTGGTTTCTAGTCAGTTCCAAGCTTCTAACTGGTCGATTTTTTCTTGTTTGCTGATTCAGCTACGAGCCAGGGACAATAAAGGAAGATGTGATCCAGTTGACCAGTTATAGATCAAAGTTCTCGGAAACATGGGCCACCATTCTCACGTGGGCAGCCCACCTTGGTCACCAATAACAGTGCCTTGTGGTGGCGAGCCGGGCCCTTGAGTTGCATAGATTCGCGAGCGAAAACGAACTGTATGGTATCCCATTCTCGACAGCGGACGGCGCGTGGAGCGAGGCGGGGGTCCGTTGTGAAGTATCTATCGAGCTCACGTGAAAATTATCCAGAGCTGCTTCCTTTCATTATGTATATAGCCGGGGAGCTATAATGGAGCAAGCTACGAGACAACAAAACAAGCAGAGAGGTATGCTTGAGAATTGATGTGAGTTTGGAATTTTCGGGTGTGGTGACACTGGATATTGACTTTGAAATGCTTTCCCCATTCGATTTTATAGGAAAGGAGATGGCGAAGGAGATGCAGGCCCTAGGAGCTGCTATTTCTCTCTCGTCTTCTTCTTTGTTTTTTTCTTTACAACGGGAGGAGGTACGTTATGTGTCTCTTATCGGGTGGAATGGAAACATCAGGGGATCTGAGCTCTACTATCGAGCGTACGGGTTCTTGTGGGCCTCTACAACAGCGACGCAGTCGACCCTGAGAGCGATCCGGATCTGCGAAAATCCTGCTGCTCTTAACAGATCTCGGAACTCGCGTTCAGATCTTTCCTTGCCAAGGAAATGCGCCATCATGACCAAGTCGTAACTTAGAGCCACCCGAGCTCGCTGGCTGTGATCCCCCGGGTCAGGTGCGAGGAACTCCACCATTATGATCTTGCCTCCGTTCTTGAGCGACTTGTAGCAGTTGTTCAACACTTTGATGCAGGCATCGTCGCTCCAGTTGTGCATTATGTGCTGCGGCATTAAAAGCATCAGGCAAGTTAGACACTCCTTATCAACTGACGGACTTGGGATAGATAATGCAAAAGCTTTTATGCAGGTCTTGTCGAGTTACCTTTAAGTACATCCCGTCTCCGCCTGGGATTTGCTCGAACATATTTCCTCCAACGTGCTTCATTCCTGAAGAGGATTGAAAGATAAGAGCCATCAGCGACGTGATATACTTCTCAAAGCCAAAGCGAGCAAGGCACACGAAGGCAACAGGAAAACAAACAGGAAAGCAAACAGGAAGAAAGCAGAAGAAGGGAAAGACTAGTACTGACCATCGTACTCCGGAGCACCAGCAACAACGTGAGGAAGGTCGAAGTTAATCCCGTGAATGTGGGGATACTTGGCGAGTATCATTGCGAGGCTGGATCCAGTGCCACCCCCGACATCCACCAGCGTCTTGGTATCCTTGAAGCCGTGGTAATTGTTCACGATGGCTTCCATGTAGATCTCCGACATGTCGGACATGGCAGTGTTGAAGAGCTGGCTCTCCTGGGGGTTGGCTTCCAGGAACTCAAACAGGTTGCGGTCGTGAGCCTTTGCAAACGGGACATCGTCCCCGAGCACGGCATCGTGGAGGTGATGCAGCGACTGGAACAGCTGCTTGTCGTGCCTCACTAGCAGCAACGTCGACAGTGAAGCCCCGCCAGCGTTCCGCAGCAAGTACTTGCAAATCGGGGTGAGGCCGTAGACTTGCTCCGGCTCGCCCGACTCGTCGTCCACCTTCTTGGTCCTGAAGATGTCGCAGCTGGCCAGGAAGCGGAGGATGCGGTCCAGGTGATTGACGTTAACGCTCTTCTTGTTCTTGTTGGAGCTGACTCGCTTGGAGATCTGTCGTGCAGACAGCATGGTGCCTTGCTCCGCGTCAGCCATGATCTGAGGCACGTCCAGGAGAGTTATGGCCTTTAAAGCCATTGGGACAGTGCTGAGCGACATGAGCTCCAGGAAATTGAGACGCTCTCTGTCGTCTGACAGCACCTTCTCCTTCCTCCCGGTACCGTTGGTGCGATCTATGCACTGGAGCACCTCAAAGTGGTTGTGACTGCGGATGTGTTCGTCAGCAACGCTCTGCTCAATCTCAAGCATCTTCGATCGCTCTCTTTCTCTCTCGGTAAGTATTTGCAAGCTTTTTTTCTATTCTTTTTTTTCTTTTTTTTGTTCTCTCGGCCTTACTGATTGAGCGACTGCAGGGAAGCGATTCCTCCGAAACAGAGTGATGGCTTTTTAAGCTGCTTCAGGACAAACCACACGAGCGAGAAGTGGAAAAACAAAGAATTTACGAGCTGTGAGAGATGCTTTGGAGCCGCCCGACAAGATGGAACGAATGCGCAACGAAGGAATGCGAGACAGGTAAACGAATGGCCACTAGGCTTGCTTGCTAGCGCAGCCAGTGCCGTGTTTCGAGAAGAAAGATTGTGCTTGACTTGGTTTTCGTTGAACTGTAGATTCCGGCTGGTGTTTCCGCAATGATGCAAAGCAAACGCCACCGAGGAAGACAAAACAAAGACAAAGAGGAGAGATTTGGGCCCAAGCAAGCAGCAGCAGTGCCGGCGAGAAGATTGACGAGCGAACAAAAGGTGAGCTACTTTTCTCACTCGCTTCGCTGAGCTTCTCTCGCACTCTCGCACTCTCCCTTTGTAGTAGTGGTGGTAGTAGTAGTAGTAGTAGTAGCACTGTGTATTTTTGGAATGGCACTGTGTGTGTACTTCTTATATACAGAACAGGAGGGCTTTGGGACGTGCGTAAGCCCTACAAGTCCCGACGGAAAAAAATGGAAGGATGGAAAAAAACTAGAAATATTAACTGTGGAGGGGGACATGCTTCCATCTCTCAACCACCACCTTTCATGATCTTGGCAATGCCCGAATGTATTGACTTGCTCAAACTGGGGGGGCCAATATGGCCGGGGGTGTCGGTCGGATTGTGTTGCGAACTTAACGCTAAACCCGTGGGAAAGTATGGTGTGAAGAGACCGCTTAACCATAGGGAGAGCTGGTTGATATCATATAATATGATATGGATTTGCAAGATGATTTGGTTGTCACCATCGGGCAATTTGCATTTGGTTCCTCCTCCCATATCTGTAGACGCGGGGAGGTTTCAATCGCTTTGGCGAGCGATTGCTACCCGGGAGTGAAGGGGGTGCTGGCGATGTGAGCACAATTTACAGCTCTCATGTGGCCTGGCATGGGGGACGAGAGACAGTTTTTAGACTCATCACATTTTGCTTTTTCTTCTTCTTCTTCTTCTTCTTCTTCTTCTTTCGTCTTCTCCTCAGTTCGATATAGTGCGTATACATTCGTGTCAGACTCGAACTTTGCAAGCTGTTCTAAATTTGTTATCTTTTTTTTCTAGCTTTCCTTTTTTTTTTTCCTTTTCTGCTTTTTTTACGGAGGAACACATTACTGTCTTCTGAGTTGTTCGTACATGCTGCCAATCTTGTCAGAGGCCGCGAGGTGCAAAACCACGTAAGTCGGACTAAACATTCTCTTTTCCTTTCTTTATATTTTCTTATTTCCCGATATCCTAGCAAATCAATAATTATATATATTAATAGGTCTTTTTTAAAGTGGGAGAACACAAAATGAGACTGAACGTTTGACTGAGAGCATCTGGTTCCCAATTAATAAATAAGGAAGAGTCATATTCTATAAGCAAGAACAAGAAAGAAACATTCCCGCCGCTGTAACTTACGTCGGAAGTTATGAACCGGATGAACCCATATGAACCGGATAACATTATCAATTCTCGAGAAACAAAAAACAGAAAGATCTTCCATGGGCATGGTCCATTTCGCGTGCTTTGCTTGTGTAAAGGCTACGTCTAGTCTAGTATACCCCATTTCGGGATTAGACTTGTGTAGGCCAAACACCCATCAGATGTCCAAAAAACGATACGGTGCTGCAACCAGGTGCATTCAATTGGAGCACACTCTGTCTGATTTCTCGGGGAGAACATCTTGGCAACGACACGACAGGATCACATGGAATTAAGGCCTCCGCGACAGAAGGCTTACAAGAGCAACAGACGAGGAGCGAAAAACAAAGTTGGTCTTCAGATATTTGGCGAGAAAAAACTTTCGGACCCGACACTGTTCACAAACACGATACCTGGATTCTCAGCCAGCGCCCATAAACATTGCTTGTCTCGGAAGCAGCGAAAACAAACAAGAAAGCGCAAAAGACCAAGAGATGGTACATGCGTTCTTCAATTGCCTTGCTCGGGAGATCGGGACCATCCACGTGGACGGTCAGAAAACAGCACATGAGGAGCCCTAATTCGCTCGCAGCTGCCTAGGGCTTTATTCGCAAGGGGCGGGGTTTGGTCCATCCGGAAAGGTATGATGCCCGTCGTTTTTGCTAGAGCCCACTCTCCATCTGGGCGCCACGAGATTCTGGATCTACATCTAGCAGCGGTAAAAAAAAATTTGGGCTTTGTTTTGCAGATGATTGATGATCAGGATCTGGGCTTCTTTGCAAACTTCCTGGGAATATGCATTTTTGTGCTGGTGGTGGCATATCACTATGTAGTGGCAGATCCCAAGTATGAGATTACCAGTTGAAATCCAGTTGAATTCAGCAAAGGTGATGCTGCTGCTCCTGTTTTTTTAATAAAGAGAGGGGATGGGGTCAACTGATCTTCCCTGATTTTTCCTTGTTTTTCTGGAGGCTGTTCAGCAAGTCAGAGGGGTGCTGCAGCTTTTGTAACAAGTGCAGGGGAACATCACCAACAAGTTGTGGGGTTTCTGCTGGTGGGTGTTGTGGAAAGGAAAGGTGCGATTCAACTGCTATTGTGCGAATTCTGCAAATGGTGGCTGGGCATACCCATGAATGCAACAAAATCATTCTTTTTTTCCCTTCTTTTTTCTGGTTGTTGTTGGCCTTTGTCTTCCACCCCCTCCAAATCATTTGAGGCATCATAATCATAAAAAAATGGAAAACCTCTCTCACACAACAGAGATTTGGAGTTACAGGACTTTTATAGCTACATTTGTCCACATGTTTTTTCTGGTTTGTTTCTTTTTTTAAAAATATCCTGGCGCAACCGAAACATTGCTCTAAATTGCCACATGCTGCACAAAAACACAAACCAAAGAAACTGAAAAAAAAATTTAAAATTTAGGAAGGATGGAGGAATTGGTCCCAACCTCCTCTTCTATGCAAATGCGCTGCCATGGCACTTGCAATTGCAATTCAAGCACTTGCTCCCTGCAAAAAGGCGCGCTTCTCTCATGTGATTTCTTCAATAGCTCTGGAATATTCCCTGCCACGAGAATATTCGCAAGGTTTTGGCGGCGACGAAATATTTTTTGGCGGGAGTTTTGAAACCACGGCAAAGACCTAAAGATAGCGTGCTGAGACAGCCGTCCACGTCGAGCGGCTGAGATGCCTCCACGTTACAGATCGTGAAACGGCCATAACATCTGTGCCGTTGAAATAAAGCCCTATCTTGCCATTCCCGCTTCTCTCTCGGTTCTTCTCCCCTCTTGGCGGCGTCTTTGCAAACGCCCTTCCTCGAGGGAGTTCTTGGTGTTTCGGCGCCCGATCTGTGAGCTAGAGCGGCCGCTACATCGTTCCTGCGAAGATGAGGGAGTGCATTTCGATCCACATCGGTCAGGCCGGAATCCAGGTCGGAAATGCCTGCTGGGAGCTCTATTGCCTCGAGCACGGCATCCAGGTATGTTTCTAGGAGCTACATTGGGTAGATCTGCTTGGATCTTGCGTTCTTGATGTCTAGATCGGAGATTTTGGGTGTTGATTGCTAGATCTTAGCGAGTTTTGGGGGGTTTTACTCAAATGCGTCTTAGATGTCGGATCTTGCGCTGCTTGAGAGTTTTGGGGAGATTTCTTGGTGTTTCTTGATCTAGTGCTGTAATAATCGATTTGTTTTCTTACTCAGCCGGATGGAACAATGCCGAGCGACAAGACTGTTGGTGGGGGCGACGATGCCTTCAACACCTTTTTCAGCGAGACTGGAGCTGGAAAACACGTCCCTCGCGCTGTTTTCCTCGATCTTGAGCCTACCGTGATTGATGAGGTCCGCACTGGAACTTACCGCCAGCTCTTCCACCCTGAGCAGCTCATCAGCGGAAAGGAAGACGCTGCGAATAACTTTGCTCGCGGTCACTACACAAGTAAGATGAAGCACTTTTTTTCGCAAACGATGGCTAAGTTTTTTTTTCTTGGGTGTAGTTGGAAAGGAGATTGTCGACCTTTGCCTTGATCGCATCCGAAAGCTGGCTGACAACTGCACTGGGCTCCAAGGATTCCTGGTGTTCCATGCTGTCGGCGGTGGCACGGGTTCTGGGCTTGGTTCCCTCCTCCTGGAGCGACTTTCTGTCGACTATGGGAAGAAGTCCAAGCTCGGATTCACCGTTTATCCATCGCCTCAGGTGTCCACCTCCGTTGTCGAGCCTTACAACAGCGTCCTCTCGACGCACTCTCTCCTGGAGCACACCGACGTTGCTGTGCTGCTGGATAACGAGGCAATCTACGACATTTGCCGGAGGTCCCTTGACATCGAGCGCCCGACTTACACCAATCTTAACAGGCTCGTCTCACAGGCAAGTGTCTCTTTTCTCTAAAGTGTTGGCAGCTTTCTTACTTTAGTTTTCTTTCCGCACAGGTCATCTCGTCCTTGACTGCCTCGCTCCGTTTCGATGGAGCACTCAACGTTGACGTGACCGAGTTCCAGACCAACTTGGTGCCATACCCGAGGATCCACTTCATGCTCTCGTCCTACGCGCCGGTCATCTCCGCCGAGAAGGCGTACCACGAGCAGCTCTCGGTGGCCGAGATCACCAACACCGCCTTCGAGCCAGCGTCCATGATGGCAAAGTGCGACCCCCGACACGGCAAGTACATGGCCTGCTGCCTCATGTACCGCGGCGACGTGGTTCCAAAGGACGTGAACGCGGCCGTGGCTACCATCAAGACCAAGCGGACGATCCAGTTCGTGGACTGGTGCCCGACCGGATTCAAATGCGGCATCAACTATCAGCCCCCGACGGTGGTTCCAGGCGGAGATCTTGCCAAGGTCCAGCGCGCGGTGTGCATGATCTCAAACTCCACCAGCGTCGCCGAGGTGTTCTCCCGGATCGACCACAAGTTTGATCTCATGTACGCCAAGAGGGCGTTCGTCCACTGGTACGTGGGCGAAGGCATGGAGGAGGGGGAGTTCTCCGAGGCCCGCGAAGATCTGGCAGCGCTCGAGAAGGATTACGAGGAAGTCGGGGCCGAGTCCGCGGATGGAGAGGACGAAGAGAATGACGAGTACTAAAAGCTAGCTATGGAGTTCTTCGTTTCAAGTGTTCTTACTAAAGTTCTTTGGTTCTACGCTCTTGTCTCACGAGTGGTTTCTCAGTAGGAAGTTTGCAATTCTATGATCTATTGTCTTGGAATTTGATAGAACATCGTTTTATAGATCTTCCAAGAACATCAGACATGGTGTACGGCGTGTCGCGTTCTTACCGTTCGTACAGGAGAATATAGCCGGGTTGAAATGTCGGTGCGTATGGTGCCACGTGGCGGGCCGTAATTGGTCGGCGGCGGCTTCCTCGAGAGCGAGGCGCGACGCATCCAATGCAAAAGGGCCCCCGCGTCAGTCAAAGTAGAGGAGAATTTTAGGGTTCTTGCGCTTGGCAGCGCTGAGGGTTTAGATTGGAGCGCGCGCGCACGTGTGCCCGGGGATGATCTTCTCTCTGGCGGCTCAGCTACTCGCGGCGGCATGAATCGTCATCTGCTGTTCGTCACCAGCGTTGTCGGATTCTCGCTCGTGGGATTCTACGTCGCGGAGCTCGTGGAGCAGCGGTACAAGGTATGGATGGATTGGCGGGCGAATGTAGGTAGATCCAGCATGGCTGATTTCTTGTTTCTACGTTCTTGGCTTGCAGCGATCGAAATATCAAGAAGCGCTGGATCATCTTGCGGAGCTCAAGGCCCTGGAGAGCGCGTCTATGCTCGAGACTGCCAGTGAGCGCAAGAGGAGCGATTGATTGTCGCGGTAGTGTAGTGTCAAATGAAGGTGAAAGATGCTGCTTCACTTTCGAGATCCATCAAAGCTCAAGACAAAGAGAGTAGGTGTTCTTGATTTACTGTTCGTAAAGCTCTTGTTTGCTGTGTTTCTAGGTGGTGTTTGAGGCTACGTACTATGCCCGCGACTCTGGAACCTTGGAACAGCTCAAGGATCTCAGCACTAAAAGGAAAGCGATTGAAGAATCCATCAATGGAAGTAGCAATCTCACCGCCGCAATTGCGAGAGAGATGGCTGGCGGCGTTACATCTCCCATCTTGCAGGTATGTGGCTTTCGAGGATTCTTTGCTGAGAATCACTTTGTTTTTCTCTAGGACCTACAAAAGCTGGAGAAGTATCTTCCTCTGCTTGAGAATCTAGTGGCAAACGTGATACAGCAGCAGAATTTACAGATCTTGCAGTGGACAAGTGACTTGAAACTTCGGTGGACGAGTGCTTTGTGTGGCCCTTCCGGCCATGGCTTGGGAGGGCCGAAGTACTGCCGGATTGACGATCTACGTTTCGAGCTAGCAATGATGCTCTCTCTTTATGCGGCGTTGTTAAGAGAAAGAGCCATGGAGTTGCTTGCGACCGGTAAGATTTCCTTGTTGATAGCCTGATTGATTTTGACTGTCGTTTTGCCAGATTTAGTCGAGTCCGCAATGCTTTTCCGTAGAGCGTCCGGTGTGTATCATCACTTGTCCCAGGATTTGCTTCCAGGATTGCAAACGTTACTATCATTGGACAAATCTCCCGAGCTTACTTCGTCAATGGCAACGGCAATGAGTCTTGTTTGTTTGGCTGAGGCGCAGGTACGAAGCAATTATTCTCACCTTCTTTGTGTAACCATCTTTTTCAGGCCGTCACCGTTCGTAAAGCCGAGCAGAACATGACGAGCGGGAGCCTCGTCGCGAAACTCCACTATGGCGTCGTGATGTTTCTCGAGGAAGCCATCAATCTATTGCAAGCTAGCTCCACTGACTGGATTGACATCTCAGACAAGCTAAAGGTGAGTTTTTCTTTCCTTTTTCTAGTTTCACTGTGAAAGGCTAACGGAGATAGATTCATTCTAGAGGTTCATGACTGCTTCCAGTGTTCTCCACGAGGCGAGATGCCGGCGACTCATCGCGGAAGAGTTTAAGAAGATCGAGCGGCTGGGCATGGCCGCGGGGATTCTCCGTCTGGTGTCGAGGAAAGCACACCTTGCCAAGCCTCCAGGTTTGGATTGGATCACTCTTGGATCAATCAATCTCATGAAAGCGAATTACTTTTCCTTGTTCCAGGGGATGGTACGTCCAAGCTGGTGTTCAAGGCAGAGATCACAGCACTGAACGAGATGCTGCGAAAATGCGAGCACGAAAACGATTTCATCTGGCGAGAGAAACTCCCACAGCCCGACGAGATTCCACTCATGGAAGGGAAGAAAATTGTGTCGGCGATTCCATACAAGGCATCGGGTCTGTGGCGAGAGCTTATCTTCGTGGTGTGATGGAAGAAGGCTTTTTTTTTTCTTCTCGAGGAGACAATTTTGGAATAAAATTAGAATATGCGGTGGGATCTTTATAAGCATATACTTAAGGATATTCGAAGGGATGTTCATTCTTGCCCTAAAGTGGCATCGTCGTGTTGGATCGTGATGAAAGCTTTGGAGCGCTTGCGGAGTATCGCGTTGGGTCCTCGATCAGCTCCAGCACCCAAGAGTGAGTACGCGCTACTTCTCTGATCGATCTCGCTCCTATTTGCGCGATTTTTCTCGAAGATTTCTCGTAATCTGGAGCGAGCGAGGGAGAGAGGGAGAGAGAGGGAATAGGGAGAGATAGAGGGCCCTTGCATTGATTTAGTACTTGTGCTTTGCTCCAGGCAAGTGGGCTGAGCCACGGCGAGAGGAAGTGGTGGTGCCAAAGCAATCGCTTCTCCTCAAATTGCGAGGCTTTGTGGGCGTCTTCCTCGTGATCAATGTCTGCATTGGTGGTACGTAAAAATCTCCCTGGTTCTTCATTCTTGTTGACTCTTCTCGTGAATCGAGAGGCAGCAAAGGTGAAGAACAAAAAAAGAGTTTGATGACTTACACTTGGTTTTTTTTTTTGTTCTTCGTTGGCCCAGGCTATTTAATTGCGAAGACTACACCAAAATCGAGCAAGAAGCAGCGTGCGCAGAAAAAGGACGCCGCAGAGTCGCCGCCGCCGGCCCAAGCTCCTCCCGCGCGAGTTCCTCACAGGAAAGTCACGGCCAACGAGCAGCGCCAGCTTTTCCAGTGGATGCTCGACGAGAAGAGGAAGATCAAGCCCGCGAATTCCATCGAAAAGGCCCGGATCGACGACGATAAAAAGGTCTTGAAGCAGTTTCTTCGATCTACGAATCTACCGCAGATATAGAACATTTTTATTTGTTTCTTCTAGAGACAGTTTTGGTAGTCGCGATTTATGCGTTTTTCATTCGGCGAACGTTTTTAGTTTAGTCGATATTTGATTGAATCATTCGATCCAATGTTTGTGGAACTGGTTCTTAAATTTAAAATTAAAATTAAAATTTATAACAGCTTTAAGTCAAAAGCAACAAAATTCGTTATTATTATTATTATTATTATTATTGATGATGATATTAATAATATTAGGAGAGAAAAGAATGTCAAATTGATGTTATACAGTCCCAAGGAAAACCAAGAAGAAGAAGAAAGAGAAATAATTTTACTTTGGTGAGATCCCATACCTGTGGGCTCACTCTTATATGCTAAGTTAGAAGAAAGAGAACAAGTAGAAGATCTTGGAAAGTTTTTTGTTGTCTTGTCTCTCTGTGATCTCTCTCACCTTGATAGGTCTCAAAGATGAGATTTTGCCCCTCCAAGAACTTGGGAAAGGAAAGAACTCACTCCTCCAGCAGCAGCAAAAAAAACCCTGGACATTCCCTCTCGAAGGAACTTGGACAACAAACAAAGCAGGAAAAAAAGGAGAAAAAGAAGGAAAAAAAAAGAGAGATTCATCAAAATGGTGGCCTATTCCCAGCTGCTGCCCAGGCCAAGACCTCAGGTGGCAACTGCCCCAGTGAATTCTGTGCCAGGTTTAACAAGGCCATCTCCTGCTGGCTCGCCCCACCTGAGCCTCCCCCAGCCCCACCGGGCGACACATTCACAAGGTGGTGGTTCCCTTGGACGCCCGGATTCTCGCCACCTGTCTCGAGGCTCTCATCCAATGGCAGCCGATCGTACGTCGCCCCTACAAATGACGCGGCGATAACTAGTACCGGGCTAGCCGCCATGAGCACCCCGACCACGCTGCCCCCTAAGACCTGCCCCTGTTGCGCCCCGGCCAGTGCCACCGTCAGCCCCGCGACCGCGACCGGGGCTGGCGGCGGTAAAAAGGCACCGGATATGCTAAGAATCTCGAATCTACCGTGAAAGGTGACAGTGGATCCCGGCGCCGCCAGCTGCCGCAGCGTCACGTTGGCCACGGTACCGCTACCGCCCAGTACGCACAGCCCGCGAGCCCGGCGTCGCGCGAATGCCGCCAGCGTCTCGCCCACGTCACAGCCGCCGGCGATCTCCAGGACGTGGGGGCGCATCGCGTTGCCCGAGTCGCGCGTAATGATGATGGGCGGCTTGGGCTTGTTCTTGGAGCCCGGCGGTCGTCCGCGCGGCTTGCGGACTACCACCTCGCCGCCACCAACGCCGCCTGCGCCGCCGCCGCCGCCGCCACCACCGCCGCTGTGGCTGTGATCTTTGAGCAGCAGCGAGGAGGAGGAAGAGCCGGCCTGGAGGAGCGCGGCGTTGTTGTTGTTGTTGTTAATTCCTTTGGAGTTGCTGTTGTTGTTGTTGATCCGTCCTCCTCCACCCACGACTCCGCCACCGCCTTTGCTGCCCCCGCTGCTGTTGTTCGAGTGATTCTCGTCGTCGTCGTTCGAGTGGCCGCCGCCGCCGAGGTGATGGTGTTGGTGATGCTGCTGCTGCTGCTGCTGCTGCTGCTGTTGCTGCTGTTGCTGTTGCTGCTGCTGGTGGAGGAGCTGGAGCTGGTGCTGGAAAGATCCTGGAATTCCAGCCATGGAAACTTTCTGCTTCGCGGAAGATCACTTAACGCTTGAGCTATGCTTACTTGATCCAAGAAGCTTATGCTTTGTGAGTCTTCTTCTCAAGCTCCATAGCCGCGCATTTGGATCCTAAGATCGCTCCACCACACTGTGGCAAGGAAGGAAACCCACTAGACTGTACAGAAGATGCGGCCCTCGCTAGCACTGGAGGCTCGGTGACGTTCTTGTGCTTGGATCCAATCCAGTTCTTGAGAGAGCTCTATCTAGAGAGGAGAAAGAGAGGACGTAGAGGGGAGAGAGAAGTGTGATGTCCAGTCGGGACAAAAACCAAACCTTGGAAAGATTCTTCCTCCTGTCACTGGCCTTCATTCAAGAAGAGAGCCCACCGCTCGATCTTTTGGGGATAAGCTCGAGGACGCGACGACCATTGCGTTGTGATGGATCAAAAACCCTCCTTTTTCTCGCTTTTGTGCTGGTTTCTCTCTCCTTGCGAGCAAGATCAAATGATGGTCTCCTGGATTTGATGGTACACTTGGCGCGCCAGGATGGGGAAGATCAAACTTTTGGTATTGTTCGAGCTTCCACTGGAAAGCTAGCAAAGGATGTATGGATTGGATCAAAGAAGAAGAAGAGAAATCTAGCAATGCCGGAGAGGGGGAGTTTAGTAAAACAAAGCGAGCGGAGCGAGAAAAGAAAAAACGATCCGGGGTGATTAAAAAGAAGAGCGCGTGTGTGTTCGTGGGGGCGAGAGGGAGAGTTCAGCAGCTATGATCATTGACAAGTCGACCCTCTGATTGGATGATTGAATGGAGGGGGAATTGACTGCTTCGTCGTCACGGCGAGACAACCCAAGCACTCAAAGCTGCTACTGCCGCTGCTCTCCTGAGCTCCTGTTACTGCTCAGGAGCTGAATTATCAGAAGGAAATCCTTGTACAAAAGTCTTGTTAAAGTACCTTGTGGCCAGGTAGAGAAAGAAAGAAAGCAAAAAAAAGGAAAAATGAGGAAAAAAAAGTGAGATAAACGTTTAAGTGCACACCCAAAACAGGCTTCTGCTGCTGCTGCTGCTGCTGCTGCTGCTGCTCCTGCTGCTCCTGCAACTTAGCCAAAATCAGCCTCCTCTTTCTCTTCGATTTGTGGAGAATACAATGAGCAAAGATGAGAGCAAACAGGCTTTTGTTTGTGAGAGAGAGAAGAAAAAAATAAGAGTAAACAAAGTGGTGTGCACAGCAGATGAGGAGGGAAGTGAGGTGGTGGGCTCTTGAAATATATATAATATTTTTTGGAAAAATGGTTTTCCTTGAAACTTTTTTTCTCTTTTTCCTTTTTCTTTTGGAAACATGGTTTCAATGGTGATGGTGAGAGGCTTGTGGGGATTTGTGAAATTTTGGTGACCCAGAATTGTGGTGGGTGGAGCAGAGGCTTTGGGATGAATGAGAGTTGTGTGTGTGTTTGGAATGGATGGGATTTGGGATGAAGAGATGGTTAGCTGACCAGTCTGACCCAAGAATGTGGGGGTTTTGACCGGTCCTTGACCATCTTTGACCGGCCACTTTTTGCTGGATTTGAAAGGACTGGTGGCAGCAACCAACGAACAAACCTTCTCAAATCCAACACATTGAATATATGAAGCGATGGAAAGAATTGGTGGCTTGTAAGCTTTCAGAGAGATACTGTGGCCCATAGCACAGCCAGTGGGATGGATACGATCAAATTGCTACAAAAGCATTATTATTTTGAAAAATTTTGAACTTTTTTATATGAATAGTTGTTTTCCAAATTATCAGAGAAGCGACAATAATGGTTGGCAGATCCCAAGGCCTCCACTGCGACCACGTAGTCCTCGCGATCCGACGGCTATCATTGCTCGTATATGACGACAAGTTGGCGTAGTCGTACCTTGGGTAAAAGGTGAAAGTAAATGTACAAAGTTAGATTGGCCGGGGTTAGAATCTGGTCGGCCGCAGCCCGACAAGCGTGCGTTAAATCGACGATTTCGAGACGTCGCCTTGGTATTTTACTGACGGCCTCGAAGTTAGTGCGCGTAGAATACAGGTATATTCTTGTTCTAAAATACAAGCAGCCGACCGTACTTTTCTGGTGATCCAAGTTCTCAGATGTTTCTGCGAGCCAGGATCAAGCCATAGATTTATTAAACGTTGCTCTACATCCAATTTTTTGTGGTGAGAAGAGACAAAAATCGTGGAAGTTGTTTGATTGATTGAAAGAGTAGCATCAAACCCAAGAAAATGGAGTGAAGTGGAGCAAGAATACGAAGATAACTTAGATCTAAAAATCTAGTCTAGACTTTTGGCAAAGAAATATTCAAAGTGGTTTCTTTAACCCACTCTTATAAGGTCAAAAAAATTCTAGCAATGAGTAATAATCCAGGATAAAACATTGGAGGGTGGAGAAAGACAATGTTTCCTAGTATGAAGTTCCAATGATAACTTGCTTGAATCAGCTTCAAACATTTCACAAGGTTCTCTATACTCTCGAAAAAGAACAATTTAGAAGAAAAAAAACTAGTCAACTTGTAATGTATCTCTAGATTGCGTTTGCTCGCAACTCAAAACTGGAACTTACGAAGGAATATGGGGCCATGGGGCATTAACAAAGCCGAGCACATACAAAACTATAATCCATCCCAGCTAGAATCTATCGCTCATTTTGGCTTGGCCCAAGAACAAAAGCCTTGGACAAAGAACTCGTTCAAAACCTGAAAAAAAAATTGGATTCTTCTTTTCTTCCTTAGAAAAAAATAAACCAAGCTCCTTTATAGAGCTTGCAAGTATGCATTCCGCTTGGCCCGAAAGTACTTGGTTTCGTGTCACAAATCACTAATGCAAAGATGCCGAGCATCCGACCCAAGTGTTAGCATTGAGCTGTCGATCATTCTGTCGAGAACATGTGGGGCATAGCGTGATGGATTAGCTCAACTTGGTTCTCACTTTAAACATTGATTATACTATCTTATAATAATTAATATTGAATTTTAAAGTGATTTAACAATATAATACGACGTAATAACAGCGAATGTGGCTGTTTCGATCCTTTGGACACCAGGCAAGAATTATTAATCGTGGCTCTCCTAAAGAGCGAAGGGGAGCGATCACTTTCGAGTGATGCATAGACCCTGCGTGGTGTTTCTGGAGATGGTGGTGTTGATCTTGGGACGATTCGAGTGGCACCGACTCGTATAGTGGCATGATGTACGAAGCAAACACTAAATTAATGCGATGCTCGGTGCTTATTTTCTTGTCCAGGCTAGAAAACACCACCATTTTAATTAGAATAGCGTTTTCTAATGGAACCGGCCACAAAGTCAATCACATGTTTTCTGGAATCAATTGTTAACAACGCGGCCGAGCAAATCCATCCAGGTCAGTATGGAGTCGGGGATTAAAAAATGGCGACAAACAACGGAGAGAGAAAGAACATGGGATTAAAAAATGGTGCATTATTATTACTAATACTATTATCTAAACTATTTAAAGCTATATTATCATCATTAAGAAATGGCAAGCGCACGGCATGGACAATGGAGCAACGATGTTGATTCCATATTGTAACACTGGCATTGAGGCATTTGCTCTACACTTAATAATTGTTCCACATGGTTGGTCTCAAGCCCCACATGGTTCTCAAATTCCAAACCATGTACCTCCATTTATTTTATTGCAGATAGATCATAGGCCATAAAAATATGTATATTTGTAACATCAGGGCCTATCATACATTGTATCGTGGTGTGAGCCCCCTTGAATCAAGGAGACGGTGTGTTACAACCAAAGGCGCGACGGTCAGGCTTCCTTATTCCACGTAGGACGCATCCGACGGCTGCGATGCGTTGCGACTTGGCGGTTTGAAAGACTGACACGTGTCGAATATGGCCGCGTGGAGGATATGGCCGCGAGGGTTTTCTGTTGCCCTTGTTCTTCCTCTCCATTTTGCGCCGGCAATGCAGGGCGACGCCGGGCTTCCTCGCGGCGGATTCGAGCGCTGGGGGAGATTGGCGATGGCGGCGAGGATGGAATCCTGCGAGGAGGTATGTCGGAGGAGCTCGACAAGCTTTTCGGCGATGAGGAATCCAAGGCGCTGCTCCGGGATTTGTCCGCGGCTGCTCGGCGCCTGGATGCCGCCAAGCGCGAGATGGAGAATCTGGCCGGCAATGTGGCGAGGGAGAAGGATGATCCCGAGCTCCAAGCCCAAGAGCGTCTTGTAAGTTCTATAATCTCTCTTCCAGTGATGGATTCTTTGGATTGTGGATGTTCCAGGTGGAGCAGTGCGAAGAAGACGTGATCTCCGCCCAGGCCGAGCTGAAAGCCGCGGAGATTGCTCTCATCGTTGCTCGCGCCGGTGGATCCAAGTGGGAAACTTCGGACGTGGACGAGGACGTGGAGAGGATGGAATCGGGACGAGCAGCTCTCGTCTCGGCAGTGGCTGGAACTCTTGCGAGCTTGCCGCTGGCTTTGATCGGTCGAGAGGTGACAGGATTGGTTATCAGCGAAGCTCTGGTTCTCGTCACTTGTGCGGTGTTTGGAGTCACGTATCGCTACATCGTTCGAAGAGACCTTGGAAACATCCAGCTCAAGAGCGGAGCCGCGGCAGGATTTGCTCTCGTTCGAGGTAAAAGTTTGGTTTTTTTCTTCTTCTTTCAAGTGTTCGATCTAAAACGATGGCTTGTTAGTGTAGTTCTTGGACAACTCGAGAGTACGCAAGTTTTACCCGGTTCTTGGACGGCTTTGGAGTATCAAGCCGTAGCTCTTTTCGTCGGGCAAAGCGTGGTGATGTTCTTGGCTGCTGCCCTGGCTTTGGATCTGTGCATGAAGTTGGAAGTCATCCAACCTTTTCCATCGCGAAAAAGCGTGTAAGTGTTTCGCAATTCCTGTAAAATGAATAGTAGCTCTATCAAAGAACTTGATTGGTCTTTGGAATACTTACACGCTTTAGACTTGAGAAAGCTTTCGGCGTTTGTTCACAGAGCCATCTTCATGGCTATTCTCTGGTGAGATTCGTAGTCGACGAGTTGAAAATCTTTGGCCGTGAAGGAATCGATATCCTTGTTACTGGTCGCGATTTTCAGAATCTGTAACAACACAGTAGTGTGAGATCGAAGTAGGATTGTTCTTTCACTCACAGGGAAGGGCTTTGGAACGTTCTCCAGCTGCTCTTTGAGCGGATCAACATGATTCGTGTAGACATGAGCATCGCCAAGAACATGAACGAAGTCTCCAGGCGCGAGATCTTTTTGTCAATACAAACAGCCAAATAGCATATCGAGAAACAAGAAAATGTAGCGAACATACCACAGACGTGCGCGATCATGCAAGTTAACAGTGCGTAGGACGCAATGTTGAATGGAACACCGAGTCCCATGTCACAAGAGCGTTGATACATCTGGCAAGAGAGCTCGCCATTGGAAACATAGAACTGGACACACAGTCACGCTTCAGAGAAAACAAAGACGAGAGTTCTAGACTTACTTGAGCGAACATATGACAGGGAGGGAGAGCCATTTGTTTCAAGTCTGCGGGATTCCACGATGATAAAACGATTCGGCGATCATCCGGCTTGTTCTTTATTTTGTCTATGACTTCCGCTAGCTGATCTACACCTTGTCCTGTGTAATCATCATGCATGGTGGAGTATCTGACAAAAAAGATCAAACTCTTGCGTTAAGAGTCGAGAAAACCGATTGATTTGAACGAACCTGGCTCCAAAATGCCTCCACTGAAAGCCATACACGGGTCCAAGATCATTCTCTTCTCTTTCAGAGAGGCCAATGCTAAATGAATCAACGTAGAATTACTTGAGTCCAGAAAAATAAAACAGAAGCACAAACCTGTCGAGGTATTCTCTTGAGCCATTGCCCTTCCATATGTGAATTCCTTTGTCCTCGAGAACCTGATAGTAAGTAACTGTGAGATCTGGTGTTCGTAAAATGTACGCTACTCTCTACCTTCGCGTTTGTGGATCCACTTATAAACCAAAGTAGCTCTTCGACAACTCCCCGCCAAAACACCCGCTGAAAAAAGAATTATTTGGCCTCGACATTGTGAAGAGAAGTTTCAGCTCGCTCACCTTTGTTGTGAGAAGTGGAAAAGAATTACGGAGGTTAAAACGCATCTGGTTTGAGAAAGAGTTAGTATCAGAAGAAAAATGAGGCATGTAAGAAGAGTTCTTACCTGACACCCAAACTTTGAGATTGTCCCAGTGCCAGTGCGATCGCTCTTCGTGTTTCCAGTTTCTATGATATCCTTGATCAAGTTTAGATACTGATACTCCTCGTGTCTCTCCCGAACAAACTCTGGAATCGGCAACGAGCTTGTCCCAGCGACGTTTCTCACATCGAGTGCCTTGTTTCGAACGTAAGTATGGAATGAATGCCGGACGTTGTTCACCGTTGCGGGCGAGGACGCATACCAAAGACGAAAACAAGTGAGATCCAAAGCCGGCATAAAAGTGTCACACTCGAAGAAAGTTTGTATCTCCGTCAAGTGGATTGCTGTGCAAAGAGGAGAAACCATAGCCTCCCTACCAAAGAAAAAAACGAGTAGTAAGTATCGCCATGCCTACAATCACTTGCTTACCGGAAGACTTCACCACCTCCAATCACGAACACAGCCTCTACACTCGAATCAAACGGTGGAGCCGCGAGAATTCCCAGCGCCGAATCCAAGCTCGAGCACACAATCGCCTTATCTCCAAGCTCTAGCCCAGCTCGGCTTAAGACAACATTCACTCGGCCAGGGAGCGGTCGAAATTTGGCTGGAATGCTCTCCCACGTCCTCCTCCCCATCACCACCGCATTCTTCTTGCGCGCGTCCGCCGCCTCGGACGTGATCCTCTTGAAGAACGCCATGTCGGAGGGGACGCTCCACGGGAGCTTCCCCTCCTTCCCTATTCCCAGATCCGTCGTAGCGGCCACCACTACCTGGAAGGCCCGGAGAGTAGCGGCAGCTGCTGGCGGCAGAGGCGTCCCATCGAGCACCATGGAAAACCTTGATCTGCCAAGAACCCTAAAACCTCTACATACTGCGGCCATAGCCAATGAAAACATTTCCCGCCAAATAATATAGTTAAAATTATGATTTATAAACTTTTTTCAAACACCTCCATGTTTATTATATGGATTAATCTTGTATGACATTCTTTTTTACTGCCATGTGGGCAAGAAGTTGGTATTGAGGGATTGATAAAGAATTTAAATGTTGATCTCTTAGTGAGAAAAGAATATTTGACAGGACTAGTTAGCAGATTATAAACATTTTCCAGATAACTTTACTTTTTCCAGATTAATCTGGAATATACAAGAGGGAACTAAAGCAATTTTTACTAAGATATAGTTATATAAAGTTATCATCACATAACATTTTATGAAGAAAGAACTTTAGGGATAAGGGAAATCTAAGCTTTCAAAGTGCAAGGAGGGTTATAATGAAGTAGATCACTATAATCACTATATCATAGAAAAACCAGCTTGCTGATGCAACATGATAATATAAAATTTACCTTTACATAATTCATTAGTGATTGAGTGATTAGAAATGCTTGTGTCATTCTCTTATCAGTGTTGACTTATTAAGACACCTTATATGACAGTTTGCTAATGATAACATTTTGGTGGGATGGTGCTAAATAGTACACTTCCACAAGTGGGATAAAAGAATATACAATAGGATGAGGGGCAGATATGCATGCATAAGCAAATATAGAGGAGGAAGTTGTTGTTGTTATTGATCCAAATGTTTGGTGATTGAACATTTTGCAATACCTAATCAAAGTTTGTATCTAGAGAAGTCTATTTTTTCTCAATGAGATTGTAAAACCATTATTTATTCAAAAAGTTTTGTAATATTTAATCTTAAACTAATTTTAAGTAAAAATTGATGGAAAACTTGTTCTTTATAATAGTTTTGATATTACACTCTAGTCTATTAGTACATTTTGTTTACCAGAACCAAATTGTGTTGCTCCTTATCTTTGTATTCATAATAATTGTAATGCTAGAAATGGTAATATATGTTTGGGAATCTAAACCTCATTACTAATAATTTAGAGTTTATAATAATTTCTTAAATAAATATGAATATATATATATATATATATATATATATATATATATATATATATATATATATATATATATATATATATATATATATATATATATATATATAGCATCAAAATTAAATAAAAACTCCTGAGAACCTACTTATTTTTCCTACTAAATTCTTATATATTTTAAAACTATAAAAAGCTGTGACACATTTATGGAAAGAACTTCCCTCACATATAGTGTGATTAAGTTTTTCTTCTTCTTTTTATTGGAATTTCAAAATGTGATAAGAGATATCCAAGTTTTATAATAAATAAAAACCTCTCAACTTTTTAAAGGAGGTAATCCTCATAAATAATTATATGAAGGCCTTTGAGTAAACACTAATTTATATTTGATTGATTTCTCATTAGCAATAAAGCTAAGTTGATAGAATGGAAATGTATGGATTGGCTGAAAATGGTGTTTATGGTGGTGGTGGTGGTAAAGTCTCAAAGTTTAAATAATTCTTTTCAGCTTTATGTTGAAAATGGATACAAATGCTTATATGAGGTGGCAAAAATTGATTAGATGGTGATGAGTAAGATGGAAAGGATCTTGAGTTTATTAAAGTGACTATAGAAGTATGTGGCTCTTGGTGGCTGCTAGTGGTATTGCTCAAAAAACAAGGAGATATAGTAATTATAGTGTGTGAGATTATCCAGATTTAAGACTATTTTCATTAAAGTAATAATAATAAAATGTGACTAAATTAATGCTATCTAATTAATATTACTAGGAAGTGCTTATAAAAGTTGCATAATTAATCTAAATGAATAACAACTGTAAGATGGTAGAATATCCCAAACTATTCAAGTATATTTTAAATATATTTATTACCCTCTAGTCCCTGTTTAGCCCTCAAGGTTCCAAGAATTTATAGTGAGTACATGCACTAATAAAATGAGATTTTATAACCTTCCACATAATTTTTATGTATATTATTATACTTATATTTTATAAAAATAAGATTAATTTTATTGCATATCAATCATTACTAGGAAGTGCTTATAAAAGTTGCATAATTAATCTAAATGAATAACAACTGTAAGATGGTAGAATATCCCAAACTATTCAAGTATATTTTAGGGGACCACTCCAGTCCCCTATAAGTTTTCTTAAGAAAATTAATAATTTGATACTCATTATTGCAAAAATGCTTGATTTTATTATTTATTTATATATTTTTTATGACATACATATGTTCATATGTGTATGGAATTTATAATCTATTATGCTTGTGCTCTTTATTTTTTAATTTATTTCGTTTTTTATAAATTTTATAGTCCGAGTAACGTTATAGTAGAAATAATTTGTATCTAAATATTATTAAACTTAGAATCAAATTCCTAGATAAATATCCAAATAAATTATTTACTGTTTTGTTTTTAACCGTCATGTTTTTAATTACCCTTAAGTAAATTCGGTCCCCCAACATTGCAAAAAATGTAGTCGGAAAAGGAAGGAGTTCCTCCCGCCAACAGCTTTTGACTTTGGGTGTTCGAGATGAACCTTTGGAAGCGTGAGCAGAAATGGTGGGTTGACAAAAATCATGCATTTACGCGCTAGGTGTTATTATCTTTTCAAAAGTTGACTGCTTCTGGAAGCTTAGACTTCCTGCATTCGAAGATGTTGCTGATCATGCATAAAAAGAGATTTGTTATTGTGGGCTGTTGTGATCTCCCAAGCTTTTTGCACCCGTGTTGTCTTATCATTTGGGTGCTAGAAAGATGAGCCCTGTGGCTCTCCTTTTGGTGGCATGGGCACATTTCCTGGCAGCAGCAGCGACAGCAGCAGCAGCTAGGCCAATCCTTGATCGTTTTGAAGTTTCAGTGTCTTGTGATGTCTGCAGTGAAGGAAATTTCAGTGAAAACAGCATCGTTTTGCCTGGTAAAAGCAACAGAAACTTGGCTCATACTTTCAAGAGCTGAACTTTGCTGTCTCAAAATTTGCAGATGTTCCTGTTTTCCTGGAATGCAAGGAGCAAAGGACAGGCATAAGATACCAAGAAAGCGGCATCACTGGAGCCAATGGGAAGATTTCCGTGCAAATCCCAGCAGAATTTTCAAATCACTGCTCTGTCAAAGTTTCGAGACCTCCAGCATTTTGCAGCATCCCAGTGAATACTGCAGGCTCAAATCTCAGCTCTGATTTGGATTCAAGTTTAAAATCTTGGAAGATTATGTATCAACCTTCTCTTGATCATCACCAGATCCACTGTGATAGAAAAATTGATAGATTTCGGATCTTAGCTACTACAAATTCTTTGAGGCTTGGGCCTCCTGATCCTCCGAGCCCTTGAAGAGCTAGCTAGTAGATCATAGATATATTCATGTATAAACTCTACGTGTTTATATATAATCAATATTGTTTTCATGTCGGTGAAAATGCTGTGCTTTCACTGAGAGTTGAACTCAGGACCTCCCGCTTACTAAGCGGATGCTCGAACCAACTGAGCTATGAAAGCTTTAGATTAAAACATAATTAAGATAAAACTAATCTCACATGCCAGGTGGATTCGACCTCTGGACTATCTCTGTCTAGGGTTTGTGGAGCTCTCAGCGATGATTTCCCAGTTCTTCGTCCTCTCGCTCCGCGGCGACAACATCATCTTCCGCGATTGTGAGTCTGGATCTAGCTCCCTGCAGCTGGAATACTTTGGAATGCTCTCATTGATCTGATCGGGCTGCATTTAAGGCAGATCGCGGGGATGTGAGCAAAGCCAGCGCCGAGATTTTCTTCCGCAAGGTGAAATTCTGGCACAGCGAGGAAGGCGAGGATGCGCCTCCGGTGTTTGTGAGTAGATTTTGCTCGTTTGATAGGCTATGGTTATAATCGATTAATGTGGCAGAATGTCGATGGAGTGAACTACGCGCATGTCAAGGTCGCTGGTCTGCTCTTCGTCGCTACTACCAGAGTGAATATTTCTCCAGCTCTGGCATTGGAGCTCCTTCAGCGGATCGCCCGCGTGACGAAGGACTATCTTGGCATTCTTAACGAAGAGTCACTCCGGAAAAACTTCGTTCTTGTGTATGAGCTGCTAGACGAAATGCTGGTTAGGACAGATATCTTTCTTCCTGGCTTGCTTATGTTTTTGCCTTTGCTTTTGCAGGACTTCGGCTATCCTCAAACGACCTCGACTGAGGGACTCAAGTCTTTCGTTTTCAATGAACCAGTCGTGGTAGAGTCGGCCAAAATTCCTTCTCTTGGGCCAGCCGGATTATTCATGGTAAGTGTTTTTGCTTCACAGTTCCGATCGTTCCAACTTTCTTCTTTGTGTTCTATTTGCAGCAAGGATCAAAGCGGCTTCCCGGAACGGCTGTGACCAAGTCCGTGGTTGCTAGTGAGCCTGGTGGCAAGAAACGGGAGGAAGTTTTTGTGGACGTCATAGAGAACATCAGTGTGACATTCAATGCGAGCGTAAGTGTTTTGTAGTTTTCGTTTTAACGTAGAACTGGCTTTATCAACTTCATCAGGGCTACATTCTTACGTCGGAAATTGACGGAACCATTCAAATGAAGAGCTACCTTACTGGTAATCCGGAAATCCGGGTCGCTTTAAACGAAGACCTGCAAATTGGTCGTGGCACACACTCGAGTCTAGGTGAGTGTTTTCATCCAGATGTTGGTCGAGGCATTACTTGCATCATATGCAGGAGCGGGTGGTATGGTGCTACTGGATGACTGTAACTTCCACGAATCAGTTCGACTGGATGATTTTGATTTGGATCGAACTTTAACGCTGGTCGGTAACTTTTATTCTTCCTTTTTATCTAATGACACTTACAAGCTTATGATGCATCGGATAGACACCGCCAGATGGAGAGTTTCCTGTCATGAACTATCGCATGACGCAAGAATTTAAGCCTCCTTTCAGAGTGTATCCCGCCATTGAAGAATCTGGTCCATTCAGGGTACGAGAGTGTGTCACTTTTTCAATGTAACTGATGAGTTTATTCTCAGGCGGAAGTTGTCATCAAAGTGCGGGCAGATTTTGCTCAGAATGTAACAGCCAATACGGTGCTGGTACGCATACCACTTCCAAAAACAACAATGAGGTATGCTTTGTTTCCTATTTGCCATTTAACCTGTGTCGTCCATGCAAAAGATGCGGTTTTGAGCTGGAGGCGGGAGCAGCTGGACAGTCAACCGATTATAAAGAATCGACAAAACTTGTAGAATGGGGATTGAAGAAAGTAAGTGTTTTGACTGTTCATCTCCCAGATAAAAAATTTCGATGGATTTTTTAGATTTCTGGCGGCTCGGAGCATGTATTGCGTGCTAAACTTACCTTGTCTCAAGAACGCAATGGTAATAGCCAAGAGAACTTCTATTGTTTTGTATTTACTACTTTATTTTGGCTACTTGCTTTACAGTAAACATAAAAAAGGAAGTTGGACCGATCAGCATGACTTTCACTATTCCCATGTTCAACGCCTCCAAAGTACAAGTAAGAGAATCCAGCAGCTTTTTTGCCTTTTCTAGTTTCTTATGTTTTTCCCAGGTGAAGTACTTGCAAGTTTTGAAAAAATCAAAGTCATATAATCCTCATCGATGGGTTCGCTACGTGACCCATGCCGATTCGTATGTTATCCGGACATAGATTCTGTGTATCTCCATACGGAGGAACAGGGGCATGCTACGTTTCAGAAGGTTGGCTGTTTACATTCCAGCATGTGTAACTGTTTTACTCACTCGTTAATTTATTCCTTTTCAGTGGCCTGATGCGATGCGGTGCCACTGCCGGTTCGCTTCGTCCCAGTTACGGAACAGTTACCGTTTGTCTCGGATTTTGTCATGTTAGTCTTAACTGCTATTCTGCAGTTAGGACAGGAATCGAAAACGGGCGGGCAAGATTTTCCCGCAAACCGTTAGCTACGGAACATAAACTGCACTAACGAATAGGTTGGTGCAATCTAGTCTGTCGCAGCTCGTCACTCCCGGTCTGCCATAGCCACAACCTCCGTGGCTGCGCAGATTGTTGGCTTGTTTTGCTCCATTCATTCAAATTGTAGCTGGTTACGTGTTCAAGTTCTTGGTTTGAGCTGCTAAAACTTTCTTGATGTGAAAAGTGCGAGCTGGAATTATTCTCCAGGATGAGGCCGCGAGGCTTTCGTGCGGTTGCTCTCATCCTCTGTCTGCACCTGCTCATCTCGAGCGGTAAGCTTTTTGTTGCGTCGACTGCATTGGTTGTTGATGTCTTTGAGTTTGTGTTGCAGGGGCTGCGTCCGAGGTTGCGACTGTCGATCAACGTTTTCCAGCTGGTAAGCTGTTCTTTTTCGACCATTTTATGCTTCTGAAATGCCGAGCATGATGTTTGTTTGTGCTGTTCTATCAGCAGATGCTGATGCTGAATGTCTCGGCTGTGGCTATACACCGGATGCTCCAGCTCGTGGCAGTGTCCCTCGATGCTCAGACGTTGTCTGTCTTGTCCAAGGACTTCTTGACAGGAAGAGCTTGATTTACATTGAGCAAGACATCGACGTATCAGGTCAGTCTGTTTACTTATATATTTCCGGACGCAAGCGCTCATGTGATTAGTGCAGGCAGCGGTCCTCTTCCGGATGTTACATGCGGGGTCACGATCATGGGGACGTGCGGTGATGGCTCGCCATGCAAAATTGATGCAAAGGGCAGCTCTCAGATTTTTGTGGTTGGACTCGACGGCTATCTGACGCTAAAGGATTTAGAGATCAGTGGAGGTGCCTGTGCAAGAGGCGCTGCTGTGACAGTCTCGGGTTCTGGATCAAATGACTTGGCAAGGGGAGGCAAATTTGTGGCTCTCAATGTGAAGTTTACGAACAACGTCGCTTCTGTATGTCGTGGCTTTTCAGATGTTTAACTTCGATTGATCGTGACCCATTTACAGGAGCTAGGAGCAGCTCTGCACGTTGAATCTGGCGGTGCTGTTTATATTCGGGACTGTGTCTTCCGCTCAAACAAGGCAAGTAGAATTTGATTCTATAACGAAGGATTTTTTCCGAGCTTGGGCTTTCTCTTACAGGCTGCGAAGGGAGGAGCAGTATTTGTGGGATCCAGCAAGGACTTCCCGTCAAACCACACAGAAACGGAAGCAGTTCGAAATGTGTGTGCACTGAACAGCTGCACAACGTTTTTAAATACTGAGTTCTCTCGGAATTCCGCCGATTATGGTGCCGCCGTATACGTTGATGATGCTGCTGAAGAGTGCAAGGACAATGGAGGTGCTAAATTCGACTGCACAACCTGCGTATTTCGCGATAACTCGGCTCAGGTAAGAAAGTGGTTCTTGAAACGACCTGACAATTTGTTCAAACAGCAAGACGGAGGTGCTCTGTTTATCAACTTTCAATCCGCGGGTGCCATTTCATTCCTCCGTAGGAGTCGTTTTGCGAGAAACACTGCAGGGGTATGGTGCTCTGATTGATGGTGTGTTTTTCTGATTGATTGATGGCCCTTTTGCAGAGTTACGGTGGTGACATTGCTACGCAAGAAGGAGTATATGGAACTCGTGGTGCTCAACTTTATGCATATCAAGTTGTATTTACTGGAAGCAAGGCATCGGTAAGCTTTTTTTCGTTGTGATTCACAGTGTTACGTTACACACGTTTTAACGATGGACAGAAAGGCAGCGCTGTTGCAGTCAAACCATTCTCCATTTCTACGTTTGCAAGATGCGAATTTTCCCAGGGGGTAAGCCTTTTGATTCGCTTATGAAGCTCTAAAATTTGGCGTAACAGTCTTTACTCGAATGCGACGGCGTATGTGACACTTTCTGCCCAACTTTGTCACCTCTGGTGCGTAATATTTGCCTCAAGAATGAGATATGTCTTTACCGTTTTCTTTCTGTCTGCAGTCAAATGGCTCTATACCATATGGAAGAACTGGAGGTGCGTACATAATTGGCTCCTGAATTCTTGGTCTAACGTGATCTTCTCTTTGCAGAGTCGTGTCCTGTTGCTCCGATGCCTTTGTGTGGCTGGGTTCCTGACGAGTGCCTAGAAAGTCCGTCTCCATCCGCGACACCATTGCCAACACCTTCACCATCACCATCGTTACCATCTCCGCCTTTGCCATCGCCATCACCAAGTCCATTGAGTACGCCGCCAGCAGAAGCACCAGGAGAGGCAGCCGGAGAACCGAGATTTAGAGCGAAGCGTCCTTTCTCGCCACCTCCTTCGCCACCTCCTTCCCCACCTCCTTCATCACCTCCTTCATTACCTCCTTCGCCACAGCCTTCGCCACCTCCTTCGGCCTCAGCTGCTGCTCCGGCGTACAGGCATAGAGTGCGTGGCAGACACGCGCACCACCGGAATGGTAGTATCACAGGGGATCCTCACTTTGTTGGCAAGCATGGCGAGCGTTTTGATTTCCACGGCAGAAGCAATCGCGACTACTGCATACTTTCCGACAAGGACTTCCATATCAACATGCACGTCTTTAAAGGCATACACAGGCACTCCACTGTACGTATTGTCATTTTTGCAGTTCATCTAGTCTTATGTGGTTTTGGTTTTTTTTTTCTCCAGTTCATATCCAAGATTGGGATGCTGTTCAAATTGGACAAGGTTTTGATAGACGCCCAGGCCGATAAGACTGCTTCCCGATTTGAGGACCAGTGGAAGGTTCTTGTGAATAATGTGAGTATCATTTTTGTTTTTCTTCGATGCAAACTCTGAAAGTGGTGCTTGTTCTTTTTTCACAGGTGGAGTTGCTTGAAGGGCATGTGGTGGGAACTCCAAGTGGATTGAAGATCGTCCATTTTGTCGGGTCGGTTCAAATTGTCATTCTAGACGAGCTAGATATGAATGTGACAGTGATGCCTCCGGGTTTCGGGAGGTTTGGATCGGGAGCAAACTACGTAAGCATCTTAGTTTCCTCTTATCTTCTAATAAACCCTCTTGTTCTGCAGCTGGATTTCCAAATAAATCAGCTGAAAGTGTCTCCCAACGTCCATGGCGTTTTAGGTGACGAGAATCCTCTCTTTCATTTTTCTGATTAAGTCATGGATCAATGCAGGACAAACGTACCAAGAATCCCTGCAAACATACAAGAAGATCCACGAGGTTAGAGACAGGAGGCTCAAGAGATCTAGAGCAGCGGCACTGTTCGTGGATGGCTCCGAGAGTGATTACTTGTCGAGCAGCATCATGGCGGCCGATTGCAAATACTCAGCCTACATGGTAAAGTATTTCACGAGTTTTTTTACTGTTTCTTATTTGTTCTTGTTTCTAGGATCAAAGCCAGATCTCTCAGAGAGTCCAGAGAATGGTTTTAGAGGGTGTCCAAGTTTTGCTGGGAAAGAGGGAGGAGACTGTGAGGCAATGTACTGGTTTTGGGCATTTTTTGTGCCTTTTGGAGATGGAAGAGGAAGGAGAATGAGAGGATTGTATACTTTTTCCTTGTATAGTAGATTGGGACATCAAATCTTGGCTGTCAACTTTTCAAATGTATGAGATGGTATTGTGCAAAATTCAATGAAAGATCATCCTCTGCTCTTGTTTTCTCCAACTTTTATGGACGTTTGCTTATTTGCAATGGATGTTCTTTCACGTGGAGTTGCCATGCTAGATTTGAATGTGATACTTCTGGGTTTCAGGAGGTTTGGATCGGGACCAATGTTAGTCTTCTAGTAAACCCTCTTGTTCTCCAGCTGGATTTATCAACTAAAAGTGTCTCAGAATCGTTTGTTTCAGTTTCTAATCAAATGCAGGACAAATTACCAGGAATCCTTGCGAACATACAAGGTTAGAGATGGGATGCTCAAGAGGTCCCAAGCCGCGTCACTGTTCGTGGATGTGACTGCTTGTCGAGCAGCATCATGGTAGCCGATTGCAAATACTAAGCCTACATGGTAAAGTATTTCACGAGTTATTTATTTGTTTCTTGCTTGTTCTTGTTTCTAGTATGCTTCTTGTGCTCTTCTGCAAATAGAAGTTTGTTTGTTGTATACTCAAAAAGACAATGAGAGTAGCATACCCTCTTCTTGCAGGATTCCATGCTGTAGGTGGGATCTTTCTCCTCGTCATCTTCTTTCCAATATTCCTCCCCGACGGAACACGACCAAACACCGAGCTTCCTTGCGTCCCCAAGCATGATGCACTCTTGGTGGTACGGGGACTGGCAAAAGTCGCACTCGATCCAATCGTTGGCTTTGCTCGTGCCTGAGCAAGCATAGCAATTGTCTGATTTGAACCCCCTCAGGTGGATCAACCTCTCGTCAATCGCCTTGAGACTCTTGTGAACATCTGTAAAGCTCATGACGAGCTGAAGAGGCGATTCGGATGTTTCCGCATATGTCCACATCTTCTCCGTATGTGCTATCCAGCACAGTAGCTTCTTCCTCATCTCCTCCCCCTTGAAGAGCTCATTCGCAACTTCTAGAGTGCGGCGATGGTACTTCATGGCCTTGGTAGCCTCCATGATAGAAACTTGGAAAACTATAATCCAGTCCCGCGACACATAATACACATCCGCTCCCATATGCGTAAGCTTGATCGGACAAAACAACGTTGCCACGTCCTTGCAGCCGGTGAGTAACTGCTTCGAAAATCTTCCCCGGCACTGCACAACCTTCTCCGCCTTGACCTCTATCACATGGTCTAAGAACTCTATTCTGGGCTCCAGGCGAGAATCGTCGCCTCCCAACCTATGCGAGAGAAGTTGGTGTCGATGGCGATAGCATTCACCCAGCGGGCCACTTCCTCCGATCTGAGCTTCATAGTCGCCAGCTCTGTCCGTTCGGCAATAAGATAGCCCGTGATGCACCTGGCTCTGCGATTCTTGCCTCGATATATTAGGCGAGAATCCATTACGCTCGGCAAATACTCCAACTCCTCGCCTCTCGCTCCCTGGGCCAACTCCGCAAGGTTGTCTTTGTTCACGTATTCGACAACCTTTTTCTTGTACCAGCTGAAGGCCAACTTCAGCTTTTCCTTCTGGTCACGAACGTAGTAAGTCACGAGTGGCGGCAGAGCACCGGTCTTCCACTGGCCACGCTTGATAAAACAAGGATTCCAGAGATCAAAACTACAACTTAAATCATAGCCGTACCATTTTCCATACGCGAAAGTCAGCGTCATCTGCTGGTTCGTCCATTTCCTTGTCTCTGCACTCATCCTTTGCTTGTCGGGGTGGCGGAGTCAGCGTCACCTGCCGGTCCCTTGTCTCTGCACTCCTCCTCTGCCTTTGCTTGTCGGGGTGGCATGCAATAATCAGGATTACCATCCAAGATCTCGCACGTATGGTTGATATAAGCATCAAACTCCTCTTGCTGCAAATACGAAATGAATATGTTAACCAGCAAATAAAACTCAAAGACTTAATAACCTCCAGAATAAGCAAATGTGGGGCACTTTTGTCTTTGATAAGCTGTTTCCTGATAGAGCTCTGAAACGACGCGCAGATGACCACGTTGGATACTGATAAAGGGAGAACTCTGATAAATCCCCGGGCTTTTTCTCTGTCAGCTTCCGAGCATACATTTGGAGACCTAAGCTTGTTTCCATCGTCGAAAACTACATATACTTTCCGCTCAAGCGCCTTCAAATCTTCCAAAACCTTGAAAACGCTTTTCATCTCAAGGTCCTTAACGCGTAGCAGCACGCCAAAAGCTTGATCATCGTTGATGAAAGCGAGAACAAGAGCTGAGAATAAGGCGTTGCCGGGTTCGCGTATGAATGGCTCGACTGGCAGGAGAGCGATGCCCCTCGACTTGATCTTGTCGCTCGCAAAATCTGTATGCAAATGGCCAACTGCGGCAGCAACACTGCAGCTTTTCCCAGATCCGAAAGTGCCAGTTATGTAGCGAATACCCAAAACAGGGTCAAACTCGTTCGACATCAAAGGGCCATCATCAGAGTCCAAGATAAATTTGATGACATCCAGAGTTACTTTGCGGCCCATGTAGTGCAACATCTTGTGCTCGGTGGAGGTATAGGAGGCCACTTCTGGGATTGCAAGCTTCCTGAATGTGGTTACCTGGCCGAGATGATCTCGGGGAATGACGATCCTTGAGCAACGCATCCACCTTCCTGGCCTTAGTTATCATCCACTCAGATCTTCCTGGATGGACGCAATAGGCGTCTGGAGCTGTGCGATTTGCTTCCTGAGATCTTTTACTGCGGCCTTTAGCTCCTCCATTTTAGGTCAAGACGTACCACATGCATTTGCTATCACGTGTAGATTTACGGATCACACAACTACTACCATACTTGCCAGGCATTTTATATGCGTTACTTTCTCATGTAGAAGAGCATTAAAGGAATGTTGCAAAACACAAGCTCTGCGTTACCAGGTTTTTGCTAGGCTGATTTTGTCACAGTTAGACAAATGGTGGGATTCAAAGTGGACCAGAAAACACAGCTTCAAACCTTTGTGCTCTTATATGTTGCTTGTATGTTATTAGATCCTTGGCTCATCTTGGACCACATAACATCTCCCAAATCTCACTTGAAAGACCAGGTTTGCATTGTGATTTTTTTATTGTGATGGCACTTAGACTCTTGTCCATAACCTGAAGCTTTTTTTGAGGCCTCCATCCCTCGTATCTTCTAGACTTTGTTTGGTTGCAGTCTTATCAAACTCTTGTTGGATCTTACTGAAATTATATGTATGAAGGTTAGTTTTCTTCCATCCAATATCTAAGGTTGTGACTTCTAAAGTCTAGAGTGTTATGACGTGGCACTAAATAACAAAGATAACGAGACCTAGCTTTGCTTACACTTCCTTTTATTGTTCTTCACCAACCCTTGACAAAGTGTACTTATTATTAGTGTAGTGGGATTTTGATAGCATCAAATTGATTTTAATCCAGACAACTTGCTTATATATATAAGCTAAGGTTTTTCGGTTAGTTAGTTTCTATATTCCATGCATTCACATTATTGAAGGTGAGATTGTCCTCCCTAAAAAGTGTTTGGATTTATGCTTGGCTTTGAGATATATTGTTTATACAATACAATATAGCTATAGTTGAATAATAAGACTCAATTAATGGCAGTGTTCATAGCATGTGGTGTAGCTATTTTTTAGAAGAAAGAACATTGCAAAATTAGAAGAAAAAACTTAGACTAAAATCACTTCACATATTTTTAATCCTTGTATTGTAAGAGGTTTCTCCTTATATAATCCTTAGATCATATTATATATTTTGTTGTTGATATTATAAAATATTGGTGTAGAAAAAGTGACAGATATTTTTTAATGCATTACAAGGACCACAATATATATTAATGAAGAGGGGACTTAAAGAAGATAATGGCTTGCATTCACAAACACCTTTTTCTTCTAATGTTTGGGCTTGCTTTTGATAGTTTAGCCAATGTTTGTCAATGAAATGCTTTATAACATTATATATATAGATTACTGTCCTTAGTTGCTCATGACAAACTTGGGAGCATTTGTCTAGCATTTGAAGCAATCCAATGGTAGTCAAGCCCATCCTAAGGCCACAAAATTTGACCTCAGCTCTATGTAGCACATGTGGTTTTTACTTTTTTATCCTATAATGATTTACCATAGGATAACCACGAAATGGAACCTAAACCCTCCATATGCCACATGTCATATGCCATGTGTTCAAAGGACAGTGGTGTGGAACTCGAGTTTTAGGGCCTTGGGCCACTAAATGAAGGAACGGTACCAAATTCCCAAGCACAAAGCCAAGAAGCATTGGCTTTAGAGCACAAAATGACTCCTGAGTATACAGACCAAGGAGTGAAGGGACAGGAGTACGGAGCAACTTGGATCAATCCTAAAACAACTAGCATCCCAATGCTATAACTAGCACGTAAAACGAAGTTAAATGGAGTTGCTACACTTGAACAAAAGGGATTGATAAAGGGTCCAGCAATACCAACTTCTTGCCATTGTGGCAGTAAAGAAAAGTGTTTGTAAGGACTAATTAACAGGTAATTTTCGATACCCGAAGTCACATCCGCAACAATCTAACCCTGCTACTAACCTCCTCAAACTTCATAGAGAGCCATAGCAAATAAGGTTAATGACAAAGTTAGAATTTATGAGGTTTGAAGCAATAATAAAATCACATGTTAGGCTATGCCGAGCTAGAAAGGAATGTTATAAGCCACCTTATATGAAACACTCTAGGAGGTCCACCACCAACTCATCAATTCCATCACCTTCAACACTAACTCTTTTTTCTAGCCATAAAAGTATATATGCCAAGTCTTGGGGATTGCAATCCACTTGGTGACAAAGATTGTGGTGAATAATCAAGGGACCAAGGGTGTTGATGATGAGATGCCACCAATGACTTTGGACTAATTGCCATGGCATCCACAATGGTAAGATAAGGATTGACAATTGTTATCAGCATAAGTGTGCATTATAGTGACAAGTAGTGAGAGAGTTTGGCACTTAGCAAAAAAGAAAATGAGTCAAAAATATCCTATGAAAAAATAAAACCATGAGTATATAGGTTATATTATACTTTGGCTTATATGGCAAGGGTCAACTTGAATATATTTCATTGAGAATAATT